TTCCTGTGCTTCAAAGGTAATGGTAATACCACCTGCCTGATTACTTTCTGTGGTTTTTGAGAGCAGGATGGATGTGTTGTGGGAAATATCTCAGAGCTCTTAGGAAGGTCAAGCTTTTGAACGAGTTAGTGCTGAAGTGGTTTTGGTGCTGTCAGGTCCATTTTCAGCCGTTTGATCTAGTTATTGGTGGTATTTCTTGACTTTGTAAGGGGATTTTTTTTGATAGCATCAGTTCACAAGATGTTTCATAGCCCTAAAACTTTTTAAACATGTGTCAGCCCTATTTTTTTTTAATGTTTTTTTGTTCTCTAATTATTAAATTCTTGAAGCCAAAAAATGGATCAAATTATATATTTACTGGCCATTTTAAGATGTTTCTGTCAATTTATAGAGTAAATCAAATATCAAATCAATCAAATATAAGCTATTTATAATCTATAATTGAAGGAATACTTCACCCAAAAAATGACCATTTGTCATTTGTTATCAATTAGTCATGCCGTGTTACCTTGAATTCATGAAAAAAACCTTTCTTGCATGGCATTGGAAAATGATTAACACTGATTTACAGATTAATTTGGGACCGTGTTTAAAGGGGCAAAAAGCGAAATCGTTTCACCCCTAGGTTTGCTGTTGTGCACTGCCTGTAGACCAAAACAAAGTGTGTCATGAGCCACTCCTCCCTCTACCTCTGCTCTCCCCCACCCCCCACTTGCCTCGTCTAGCAGTTAGCGATGTCTCGGTCTCTGCTGTGTTTAGCTATTCCCAGTGTTGCAAACTTAGCGACTTTGTCGCTATATTTAGCGACTTTTCAGACCCCTCTAGCGACTCTTTATGAAAAAAGCGACTAGCGACAAATCTAGCGACTTTTTCTGATGTTACTGAAGACTTCTGGAGACTCTGTTGTGAGAGCACGTATCATTCTTATTCTTCTCAACGAGCAGCGGATGCTACCGTGGGCTCCTCTCTCGCCCCAAAGCACTCACAGACGGCCCAGTCCTCCCTCCCAGCAGCAGTCAGAGCAGGAAACGTTAACCCCTCCACGTCCAGACTGCAAGTGAATCGCGCATGTGCGGAACCACCGCTGGCTGATCTATGGCTTTGATCCCGACCTGGTTTACAGTCAGGGCAGGATGTAAATGTAAAATTTTCTTTGTCTAATATAAATCACTGAAAGAAGGTTCATTTGTAGTTCTAAACATATTCAGGGCGTATTTTAACTCAGTTTTTGTCAGTTTTTAACTCAGTTTTTACTCAGTTTTTGTCTCTTCCACGACGTTATTCCTCTCTCCTACAGCAGCCATTACAATTACATGCATATGGACAATTATGCAAATTAGGCGATGACGTCATTTAGTGACTTCTAGCGACTTTTAGGACAGCCAATAGCTACTTTTCTTACTGAGGAGTTGGCAACAGTGGCTATTCCCCTGCCTACTTCAGTGATGATGGTACCTGTAATAAATGTAATATATTTGCTGAGATGGAGGCGAGGCTCCGTGACTAGAGGAGCTGGTAGAAGTGCTCCATGGCTGTTAAGTTACTCCAGTAGCCGGTGGCAGCCGACTTGGCTAGTGCTAACACCGGGAGCTAACACTAACGTTCCTCCTCTTCTCCGTGAGTGAGAGTGATGTTTTAGCCTAGCGGGCAGCTGGCTCGCGGGCTGCTCACTAGGCTAAAACATCGCCTCAGGTTAAAGTGGGAAGAAGCAGCGGGTTTATCGGGCAGCTGAGTGAAGCTGGGTGAAGTGGAGGCTGCGGAGGAAACACCAGGATGGGTTACAGTATTCCTTTAATATAATGACAAACACATTTATCACGAAAATAGTAGTTAGCTGCAACCCTACAAAAACTCTGATAGAACTCAGGTTACCACAGGCTCCTAACCTGTCCGGCAACAACTGACAAACAGATTAGCTATTAGCAGTTAGCTGATGGTTGATGAGCACATAGCAAGCTAAAGACTGAGGTTTTAAAAAGTCTAATTATCCTTATTTTCCAGATGTTAGCTAACTTAAGCTAACATTAGCTAACTGCTACTGTTACTGTTATGTGTTTTTTATGTAGTCTAACAGATTTAGGATTTTTTAGGCAGGTAGCAACTGCCTAAAAAAATCAACTGTTGGCTAACGTTAGCTAACTGTTACTGCTACTGACAGATATAGGATTTATTAGGCAGATAGTGGTAGCCTAACATTTTCTCTATTTGAGAGTGAGTTTGTGTTTTCAGTTTAATTGGGTACCGTAGTAATTTAACAGTAATGGTTAAGTGAAACAAGGTGAGGACTTAAACACACTACAGGTAAGCTGAAAGCTAAGTTTACTAGGTTGTTGGTCAGAGCAGGGTTTTTTTATGGCAGGGATAGCAAAATAGATGATGTGGCAAAGAAGTAAGTCTTGAAAGCAGGTAAGGAGGGAAGTGGGAGCAGGGGCCTGTATCATGAAGCAGGATTAATGTCTTAGCGAGGTAACTTCAGGGTTAACCCTGGGTTTTCGGTCTCACGAAGCCGGTTCAGTTCTTATCGGGGTAGATCACCATGGTAACTTACTCTGAATGGCTATCCTGCTCCGGAGCAGGGTAAGTTCAGGGTTGAATCTAATTATATAAAAAGCACCACCCACTGGCCAATCAGCTGTTCTGAAAAAAATGACTCCGCTGACAGAAATGCAGCCCAGTCATGATGGGGAGTTTAATTAATTTGATTGATTTTGATTTGAAAGTTTATTTTGAACATTAAAAAAGAAAAGAAAGCAACAACAACAGACAATGAAAAGATTGTTCAAAAAGGAGTGGAAAGAAGTCGAAATTTCATCCCACCCCTTCATAAGAAAGAAACTGATAATTTGCGGACACTTAATAGCACCATTAATTAGTGCCAACATTTTGTTTTGTTGGAGGAAATGATCCCTGTTAAAGATAATGGGCCTAATTGACAGCTTCGCTGCTGGAAATGTGGAAAGTAGCCTATCATGTCTACACTTCATGGTGTTTGAGGGATTTTCCTTTTTGTTTTTTAAAGAGGGAGACTAGGTATATTTTTGCGCAGCTGTTAATTTCTAACACAGCTCAATATCAGGATGATTTTATTCAGACTATCAATTTGGTGTTGATATGATTTAATTGTGACATCAGCTTTAAGCTTTATTGTAGCATATATAACGTTATGACAAAGAAGACCAATTTATCAGACGCAATGATGTTAGATGATAATTATAATACACGCAATTCATCTGCACAGCATTGATTTCATGGGATTCAAGGATGTGATCAGTGTCAGATGTACAGATACAGGTACTGTAGCTACTTGAACCAGTGATGAGTAATTTAACCTACACATCATTTTATTTGCTACCTTGTTTTGTCTTGATTTTTCCCTCTCTCCTCCTCTATTTCTTCTTTCCTGACCCGTTTTTTTTTCTTCTCTATTATGTGATTTCATTGATGTTTTGACAGGGGAATTTCTTTGATAAGCTTTTAGTGGCTTCTAACCTCTCCGGCACTTTTCTTTTTTTAATCTTGTAAATTTTATACTGTCTGTTTTTAACATTATGTGCAAATAAACTAATCTAAACTAAAACTAAACATTATTCATCCCGTTATGCGTTGCCACGCATGTTTCCTCCTCCTGCAGCTGCCACGGTGTTGGCCTTTTCTGTAATGTTGCTTTTCTCCTCCTCATATTTTAGTAGAATTAATCTCTGATCCTCACGAGAAATACTTTTTTTTCCTCACATACGGCGCTCTGTGAGGTTGCTCAGTGACGCTCAGTGACGCTGCGCTTCTCTCATGATTGTGATTGGTCCGCTGCGTGTGCGTTCACGGCTCTTGATAAAGCAACTCTGGGTTGAGTTACCTAGTTGATATCCAGCTTCGTGATACTGATTATCCTGATTGCTATTGTTAGGGTTATTCAACCCAGGATAGGTCTGGGTAACCCAGGAAAGGTTGATCTCGCTTCGTGATACAGGCCCCAGGTGTGTTGGTTAGGTAATGAAGAAAAAAATATGAACTGTACTTCTGCGACTATGACAGTAACAATAACTTTTTGTATTAACTCTTGGAATTGCATTTAATCTTTTTCTGATGTAACCAAAATCATTGGATTGTCTGTTTTCGTTTTGTTTTCACAGTTTCACAATTACTTCCAGTAACAGCTTCACAGGCCGTCCCGCCTTCTTGAGCCGTTACGAGAAGTGTGTTTTGCTCACTGCATAGCTGTGCACCTTCATAGTGAGGGAGTAAAATCAAACATGAAATTAAAATGCTAAAATCGCTGAGTCATTCACCATTTTTAAAAGGGAACAAGGCCTCTGTCCATTTTGGTTCTCATGACTAAAACCACTTGAACGCCTAACATATTTTGTACTAAACTTCCCATGTCGAACATACGGTACAACCTCACGAGTTCCATGTGAAGGCAGCATTTGTAATTGTGCTTGCTGTTTATTCAAGCCAGACCTATTCGCTGCCTACAGAGTGGTTTTTCCCGGTACAGAGCTCTCCAAGTCTGTACCAGGGAACTCTGATCTCTGGGTATTTACTCTGTGTGGGAAGGGGCTGCCTCTCCACCGACTGAGGCCAAAGGTTTGATGAAAACTGGGCTCATTTGCTGGTGACCTTTCCCCGTTAGTTAGCTGACGTTGGCTGTTTGGAGCCGTGTGTGTTTGGACAATAAATCTCCACCAGGCCCCGGCACAGACTGGGACAGACAGGAAGTATACAGTTTCAGAGTAACCATGGCAACATCCCTTTGGCCTCATGCAGGAGGGGGGTTCTTGGAGTGGAGGGACCTTGTCAGTAATGGGCCAAAAAGTCTGCAAGTTTCTCTTTGCCAACTGGGTTACTCTCTCAATAAAAAGCCCCATAGCGTTATTCAAAATAAGCAACTCCCAAATCCTCAACTGTTTTTAATTAGAGTCAATTAGATTAAGCTGAATTTTGGCTTTATTAAGTTAAACTCTGATTTTGGTTTTATGCCTTCTTTATTTCTCTCCCTCTAGCTGCCTTCCTGTCCAGTCTAGGCCAGTATGAGATTGCCATCCCAGTACGTGTAGGACCTAATGGAGAGACGCTGGACGCAGAAACGCTGCAACACCACAGAAGAAGAAGACGCAGCACTGAGGACAGACTGCCTGACTCTGTATTGCATTTTTTTTTAATTGTTTTCATTTATTTTTCATCCTTTTTTTTGAGTGTTTGTCTTTAAACTACTGAAATACTTCTTGATTCAAGAGCATTGATAAACAGAACCCTCTCTCTTTTCCTGTCTCTTAGCTCTTCTACCAGCTGTCCACGTCACGCAACAACTTCCTGCTGAACCTAACGCTGCAGGGAGGCCTGTTGTCCAGGCAGTTTAGGGTGGAGTACTGGAAGAAAGGTCGATTAGCATGGAGTCATCCTTACTCTCCTCACTGCCACTATGTAGGACACCTCCAGGACCAGCCACACTCCAGCAAAGTGGCCCTGAGCAACTGTAACGGCCTGGTAAGACCGAAACCTGCACGTCTAATCCACATCTAATACACTAACTGAGGTCAGCAGCAGCGCTGGCTCAGCAAATGAGGGATCAGTAATGCTTGATTTGGACATCAAAGCATGAAATTTTAACAAACCTTGACTACTAAAGCCAGCTTTAATCTTTGAACCAACCAGTGTGGCCCTCAGAAATGACCTAATCTAAAAGGAAGGATTCATCCAAACATGGTGATAGTTCAACAAGTGTAGAAGACATGGTTTTATGTTTTAACATGTTGATAAATATCCAGTGCAATTTGCAGCAGCATATAACAATCAGGGATACATCAATGAGAATGCACTGCAGCAAAAGGAAATCCAGCTGTTACTTTACTATCACCATTGCCACGTTCACAACAAGTCATATTGCATGTTGGGAAAGATTTTCACATTCATGACTGCTCAAGAGTTTGTTGTGTGAGGGTTTGAAATACTGCACATTGACAGTATAATACTCTAAATACAAAAATTTGGGTTTAATTATCTTGAAAGATAGACTTTGGCTGACATGAGGCATCCTTGTTTGTTTGGTTTTCAGACAGCGTGCCAAGTTAGATATGTCAGAGCTTTCACAAAGATCTGAGTTTCCCTGTTTTAATTATGACTTGGATTTTGATGTGAACAATATTTAAAAGTTGGAAACTGGTAATAACCATAACTCCAATACCGCATGAACGTGGCATTCGTATGTAGGAAACGAACAAGGGCAATGAGCAAAACGATCGCTGCTTGAAAAGGCTACATTCGAAGGCTGTCACCATAGAGAGAAGTGAGATTCAATGAATTGTACAGATGGGGATACTTAGCACCCTTAAAGTCCCCATGAAGTGAAAAAATACATTTATTAATTAATTATTAATTCTGTGTCACTGTGTTAATTGATCATTTATCTTGAGTTATATACCGAATATATGTCAAAAAATCCGTATCAGGGTATTTTTTTTTTTTTCACATTAAATCCCATCCCATCTGTAAAACCAGGTAAAATGTTTCAAATGTTTGTTGACTCACCCTGCACTCAGTGGTGTTTACAGAAGTTCATCCAATCAAATGAGACTTTGGGCGACTGGCAAGCCACACTGGTCATATAAAACCACACCTCATTGTTCAAATTGTGTGTCTTTTCATCAGTTACCCTATAAGTTATTCATATTCCTTTAGTCTGTAAGGGTCCTCAGATCAAAAGAATCAGAGGGGTTTTTCCTAAAATTTAGGAGTTGTGAGTATTGTTTTAACATGATGTTAAAAGTGTTGTTTAGTTGGTATGCTGGGTGCCGTAACTCACTATGTCTCTGGTTTGCTGTCTGTCGGCGCTAGATCAAATGAATGATTCATAATTGATATAATATCTGAAGCCTAATTTTTATACAAGCAATATTCATACTGGTTTAAATAAACAATTTGATTTTATTTCCTGATCTTTGCTGATCATCAGTTTTGTGCGAAAGGAATTAAAAGCCTGTCCCAGATACAGGCCTGTGGATTTCAGTGAGTGAAGCAAATAATAGCCCAGGCTATTAATTGAAGTTTTATCGTAGTTCATTCATCTCGCCCTCGTCCTCCTCCTGATCTAATGACTAGGGAGCTGTGTGGAGCCAGTTTGCTCAGTTTGCACCACTCTAGCTCCTTATTGTGCACAACTCTAAGCCCACTGACTTTTTTAGCAGTCCAATCAAATGTGAAGGATTTGATTTAAATCCCTCTTCCAGCTGTACACTGATCAAATAGTCCATTTTACTGGGAAATACATCACAGTACGGAAGCTAAAGACACTGAACTTCCATTTCATGGGGACTTTGAAGGGTGTCTCTCCTCAAAGGAATTCACTTTGCTGCTCAGTTGCACAAAAGTAACGGAAGTAGCTGTGCAAAGACAAAGCAGTACAAACCCTGCTTACTTTCTCAGCTTGCTTCATTAAGTGGGCATGATTGTTGGTTTCAGAAAGTTGCAGAGTTGTCTGAAGCAGCCCTTTTATTCCGACGTGAGAGTGGTGATGGGTTGCTGTTAGTCAGTTCAGCACCTTCAGCACTTTGCGTGAAGTTTAACCTCTGCCTATAACCAACAATGCAGTTCTGGCATAGTCCCTTGGGGCAGCAAGGGAAGGCAGACTGGGAAATGTAGGAGATTATTAACCAAAGCTGTGGTCAACAAGGCAGGTTATCGGAAGCAGTGCTTTGAGAAAAAATATCCTGACCTCTAATCTTCTGTAAATTTTAACAATTTGCCAAATTGTTTTTGTTCTCCACTTTGTAAAGCATCAATTCCATTTCATTTATTTTCCACTCTCATGAAGTCATCAGCTTGTTAATGCCCCAAACAAAGAGATCAAAGTTCGTTCCCACTCTGAATCACTTGACTGGATCACTTAATTGTGATGCATCATTTTGTTGCCTGAAATCATTTCCCTGCATTCATAGCACCGTGTATCTGTGTATCCTCTCACTACAAACAGCAGGCTCCACAATAACAGTTGTATACACAGCTAAGGATTAGATGTGTTCACAAAGCGTTAATAAGCAGCACACGTAATTACTGTTGGTCAGACCAGCATGAGCACATTCACCAGTGAGTGGGCAGTGTATCCAGGGGAGCATCACTAACTTTATTATGGGATTAAAGGCACTTTGAAAGCCGCCGCAGTGAGTCGAGGGGAGACACTCGCTCTGACTGGGGCCAACACATCTGAGCAGATTCAAAGGAAGTGTTAGTGTATCGCTCTCTGTCTCACTCTCTCATTTTTCTTGCTCTCATTCACTCTTTCATGCTCTCACGTGTGTTTGTTCTGTGGGGTCCTGATCTTCTTTTCAGACGGGTCCAACAGAGGACCCTGCGAGGGGGACAGTGTTTGCAGTGGGAAGGACTGAACACAAAGCAATATGATGATAATGTTAGGCTTGTATCTCAAATATACAAGTGTCTCTAATGATAAAATTAGTGTCATTTCGTCACTGTACAGTTGTCGGATAGTCTGAGATGAAAATAGACCTTAAACATTGTCGTAATAATGACCAGTCTAGAAGTAGATGGGATGAAATGTTATTTAAATGTTATATAAATGTAATAAATGCTGTTGATTTAATAAAAATTGAAATTTTAAGAGAAAACAGATTAAAGTCATATTCATACTGTATCAATCGAACGCTGAAATATGACATTAACACAAACAGGTCTGTTAACTCACGCGGGACTTGACCCCAGCCTCCTATTTGAAAGTCCTGTGCTCGACCCATACATCCACCACATCTTACTCCCTCTATGGACCATGTCACTCTTAAACCACGTCATCTGACTTTCTGGCAGTACATTTGTGAGTTTTTCTCGTAAATTTACCACTTTAATCTCAGAGAATATCCAAGATTGGCTACTACCAGCCCTAACCATGGCCTCTTTGCCCTAACTCTAACTGCTTCCACTACTGACATGTCAGTGTGGTAAGCACTAGTCAGTCACGCAGGGGGATAATAAGGCGTTGTAGGGATGGATGTAAATGGCTGAACAGCTGCAGTGTGACTATTCTCACCTAGGTGCAAATAGACACAATCTATTACATGTTTTTAATATAACAGTTATTATATGTTGTTCTTTTTAGGTAATGATTAAGGCTGCAGAATTAATTAAAAACATTTGCAAAATCATACTATGCCCAAGTGCAGTACCAAAACTGCAGGAGCTTATAAAGTTAAAATGTGTCACAACACCCGATTGTAAATGAGGTATTGTGGTGCTACGGAGATGGTCTGGCTTACAAACCATATTCCAGACATTAGGAACATGCTTTTGGTACAGACCCCTTGCAAAAATCACATCATCTTCACTTTTTTTTTTTTTTCTGAGAAAATTACATGCAAAAACAACCATTCCCACTTAAATAACGACTCTAATTCAGTCGCAGTATCTGTCAAATTCATAGCAATATGATTTTATTTTGCAAATCGCTCAGCACTGGTAATAATCACATGTCATTACATGATTTTGAAGTTATAGCATTAAAATAACTCACATGGACAAAATAGTATCTTGTTTTTAACCATATGCAATGATAAGTTGACTACTTGCTTCTTAAATTATGCAAATGAAATCACCATACACTGTGTCTTCACCTATTGATACTAGGTTGATACTTTCCTCGTCATCTCTATTGTTATCTGTTTTCTCTTTATTGTCTTTATTTGTTTGAAAAGTCTGTGACTCTTGATGCATTAGAATTAGAGGCTCATTGTGGAGTTGACATCTTGCATGTGAGCTGTAAACTAATGTATCTTGGGCAAAATATGATGCTCCCTAATCAATACTGACAAACGCTGCCTCTTAAATGAACTGAGTAGACTGTGATCACAAATGGAGGGCAAAAACTGCAATGACACTAAACCCTGAGCTCAAGATTTGCTGCATTTGAATCTCAGAGGTTGTTATGGAGTCTCTCCAGCTGTCAGTTTTCTGACCCATTAGCACCAGACCCCCTCGGAGGGCCTCTGATTCACTGCTGCTCACCTTAACTTACCCTGCCTGCTTTCTAGCTCCGTCTTCTATGTCAGAATGAAGAGTGTAAGTCATTGATTTTAGTCAGATCATTGATGGAGCATTTGGAATGATCTGTGTTAGGGGATGTGCTATTTTATTTATTAACATATTTTAACTATTGATAAGGATTCAGACCATCTGTGTAATGTGACCTTTGTGATATGTGTACGATGAAAGCAATGATTTCTGTTATTCTATTCTATTATATTTTATTCTGTTCTATTCTATTCCACGTATCTGTCTCTCTGCAGCAGGGGGTGATTGTTGCAGGGGGAGAGGAGTACCTGATTGAACCCCTTGTCTCACCAGATAACCAAACCAGGACGGAGAGGGGGGAGAGAGCAGAGGGGCGCCCTCATGTGGTTTACAAGCGGTCATCGCTTCGCCATCAGTACAAGGGCCAATCCTGTGGAGTCATTGGTGAGAGGAGAGATATTCTGGTCTTTTTAGTAGCGGCAGTTTGGTCCAGACCGGAGGAGTAAACGTCCAGGCTGATTTGCATAGCAGCCAGCAGAGGAAGATTGTGGTTGTGTCTGACTTCCCAGTTGTGATTGGGTGTGACTGAGTCTGTGTTTCAGGGCGTTGCTAAAAAAGCAAAAGTATGTCTGTCATTTCACAAATACAAGTAAAAAAAAAACATCCAACTTTTTAATGCTGTAATTCTGTCCTGCTTTATTTCCATGGAAAATGTGTTCAGGCATCATTCTGGTTGGTGAAGTACTTCAAACCATCATTAATCTTTTGGTCCGATTTACGAAATGCAAAATGCACAGTGAGCGATTCTCTTTTTAATGTATAATTGGCTGAACTGCGGCTGGGCTTTTGAGGTTTTCTTCGCATTATATGTGTTCAAATCACGACTGTGTGTGATCTTCCTCAGATGAGAAGCCGATGAAAGGTGCCTCATGGTGGCAGCGAACTCTGAAGACGCCTCCCCATCATGTCGGACGCGGCCAGCTGCCTCTGAAGCGCTCAGTTAGCCGTGAGCGCTACGTGGAGACGCTGGTGGTCGCTGACAAGATGATGGTGGGTTACCATGGTCGCAGAGACATCGAGCAGTACATCCTGGCTGTCATGAATATTGTAAGTTTCACAACACAAAAGATGCACATTCACAATGCATTAAAATGTCATTATTCTTAATTAGTAAAAGGGAAAATTTTTCATGCATGGCAGAATTATTAAAAGCTTAATGCCAAGTTGATGATGATTTTGTTTTTGTATAGTTTTGCTTTATAAGAATTCACAGCAATTAATTAGACATAAACTTGTTTATACATTTATGTATCAATAACCCAACTTAAGTTGAAGTTAGATTTCAGCTTAAAGAAAAACAAACGCGTAGACCTTTTTTGATTTCTCCTCGTGCAGGCCACACGTGTTAGTCAGACGGGCTTAGGTTGTATGTCATCATCTGCACTGTTTCTTGTCAGTGGGGATCTTTTCACACACAGTTAATCACTTTAAACCTATACACACACACGTGTTAGGAATGTATTTAATGAAGGGTTGGTCAGCTGCTATTGTTACGAAGCAGGTTGCATCCGGAGTGTTACAAAATCACAGAAACCAGCAGCGTCTCTTTAGTGGTGTGGAGCAAAGTGGGCCAAATTACACCAGACACCAGTAATGACAAGTGTCTGAATGCAGCTTTAGTGCTGGTGGTGGCTTAAACTCTGGTCTTTTTTCTTTCTGTTGGTGCTTTAGCTCTTTAATGATCATTGGCACTCGTGGTACCCTGACTTTACAGCTCTTAAGGACTCTCAGACTAGTCTGTCTTGTGTTTGTAGCTGGTGGTTATAGTCTCAAATCAATCTTGGTAGGGGCACAAGACAAGGATGCCTTCTAACCCACTTCTTTTTGCTCTTGCCATGGAGCCTTAGCTGTTGCTACCTGAATTAATCCAGACTTGCTAGAGGTCATAATTTTGGGTTGACGGATAAATCATTGCAAAATTATGCTTCTTCTTGTTTTCTTTTCTTTTCTTTTCTTTTTTTTTACATTTCCACAAGTAGTGGTAGTTTCAAAAATCCATTTCCACTTTTTTTGGCCCGTTACACCTGCTTTGGATTCCTTCAGTGTACACTGTTCAGGAGTTTTTTTACCAGGAGCCAAATTATCCACAGAGGTCTCCTCCTCTCCAAAACAAACCAGGTGATTAAAAAGTGTAAAAACACTGAATACAGCAGTTTACATTACAAATCGGTGTATCTCCAATGCTGTTTGCTTCGTCAAAGACAGGCTACTAGCCTAGCACCTGCTAATGTGTGCTCAGCTTTTTTCTCTGATAACTTGAGATCCAGACATTCAAGAGGTTTTTACAGGAGCCAGATTATCTGCAAAGGTTTCCTCTTCTCCAAAATAAATGGACCTGGTGATTTAGATTTTAAATTAGTGTTTTTTCCGATACTTGGCTTGCTGATTCAAAATGGCGGACTCCGTGGACAAGGACCCTCTCCCTATGTAGGTATAAATGGCTCATTCTAAGGTAACAAAAATACAAAGATTCTTATTTTAAGATGATTTTACACCCAAGAAAACATACTCTATTTATGCTATCCTATTTCTAAGTCCCACACACTGGACCTTTAATTTATGATGGCTTACTCCTGTGTGTATTTCTAGTGTTGTCTCAGCTCCAGCTCTCCTGATGCATCAGCTGTTTTTAAGACTGGTCTTTTCTTGTTTCCCTGGAGGTCAGGTTGCCAAACTGTTCCAGGATTCTAGCCTGGGGAATGCAGTCAACATTGTGGTGACACGGCTCATCCTGCTCATGGAAGACCAGGTAAATAAACTTAGTCATCTACTGTAATCAAGTTGTACACCCTGCTCCTCTCCTCTCCTCTCCTCTCCTCTCCTCTCCTCTCCTCGTTACGTCTCTGTCCAGATGGTACAAAACTCTTCCCTGACCAGCATCTATGAGCTCCTTGTTTGTGTCAAATTATTGGCTTAAGTGTCTTTTCCTCCACCATCCCTGTGGACTCTTGAGTGTGTAAGTGGGTCTTGTGAATGGTGGCTGTCATGAAAGAGACGAGAGGCTGTAGGGAAGCGAGGAAGAGGGAGATGGGTGAGGAAAGGCGGAAAAGTCAGGATATGGGGGGGGTTTGTACCTGTCAGACAGAGCAGCTTTGTGACTGTCCTGCTCGTTACTGTGGTGAACAGTGACCTCTCTGACCACTGCTATGACGTAAATCCAGGGTGTAGAAAAGCTTAAAGTTAGATTTAGACGCTGATGCAAAAAACATCTAAATCTAAACCCCAAGAGAACACCATCAGATCCAAATTCACCAGATTCCTAGAGGTGTGGTCTTTCATTTTGCCAATATTTTCTAGCCATGCTAGCGGCAAAGCAGTGTCGGTCAGTCATTTGGTCCAGTTTCTCAACAGCTATCAGATGGATTGCCATGAAAGTTCATGTCCCCAGACTTTGATTTTGGTGAACCTATGACTCCTCCTCAAGCACTACCATGAGGCTGATTTTTGGGGTTTTAAGTGAAATGTCTTAACAGCTATCGGATGTTATGTGTTTCATTTAGCTAGATTACCGGTAGATTTATTATTCATCATAAGCCCATATTTTATTTGCATTCTGTTGGCATAACATTGGCTAGCTTATCTTTGTCGGGGTGATTGTGTAGTTGCCATTTGGCTTGTAGGTCTGAAGGTCCTGTACCCACCTGTTTGTAAATTGGACATGGGCCTCCAAAGATTTAAAGTTTTTGAATTGCTGACAGGTGCAGGTGCTAACAGCAAACACCAGATAGACATCAGGAACCATCAAGGTCTGTGATAGATATCATTTACTTTATCTGGCTTCAGTTTTTTAATTTTTTGCTCCCTTCACATTGTAGAGAGCATCTCTTTTTATGGGCATTTGTCTTCAGACATACTTACACATTTCTCATGATGAATGATTGACAGATGACAGATAATCACACAGGTCGCTACCCTAGCTACGCTACCATCTTCCAAGATGGCAGCACTGCCTTACAGTGCTTTGCAATTTCCATTCCCTATTTGTCCAGTACTTTGATTTATGACTTAATACCTGCACAACTGATGACATTCCCATCAGCCTCAACTGAACTTTGTGTTTGGTGGTAGTTAGCAAATGTTTGCATGCTAACAAGGTAAACGAAAGAAGTGAACCATAGAAAACATTATACTTAATAAACATCAGCATGTTTGTCATTTTAAACATATTAGCTTACTGATGTTAGCATTTAGCTCAAAGCACCGCTGTGCACAGCCTCATAGAGCTGTTAGCATGACTGCAGACCCTTGTACGATATAAGTGAGTTAGCGGAGGTTAAAAAAGGGTTCACAGTTAGAATCCACACCTGACCGCAAGGCAGGGGTTCAGCTCATAAAAAGTGTATGACCTTCCAAGCATAGCACAGGAGATGACTGGGCCATCTGACTTACCTAGTAACTTACCTTATTAGCCTGCCATTAACAGCATGTGGTGAGACTGTGTGGCCGGCCCCGTCGTAATGTTGACCCTCTAGCAATCTGACAGATGAATCATACTGAATTAAAGGGGTATTACAGTGTGGCTTTGAGGTTTCCTCTATAGCTGTCTTATTAGGGAACATTTATGATTCATACTGTTCATACTGCCTCAAAATTAGCCCCATAATTTACCGCTCGGATGTGTTCGTCATCTGACAGAGTAAAGAAGTAAATGTTAGGATCATTAGTGGTGGGCAGTATTAGTGTTGTTATTCTTGCTCCATGGACCGTTGAGGTTGAGGTCGGGACAGGATCGAGAGTAGTCTCGGTGAGCGGTTCTTCTGCCGGTTTCCAGGTCTGAAAACGGCAAGCTGCCCCTGGAAAATAAAATCGGGCCAGCAATGGGCCCAGAAATGAGGGACTGTGGGATGAGACAATTACTAGTTATGTCACCACATGCATTCCTGGGTTACGAGTTCCCGCCAGCTGTGGCCAGCAGAGCACTCCCTCCTCTTCGTCTCCTCTCTGCGCTCTCATAATACTAGAAAGCGCCTTTGCTCTGATCCTGCCTCCACATTCGCTCCTTTGATAGTGTGGAGGGAGGTTTCCTAAGCTTTGAAAGCCTGGAATCCAAATATTGTCTCGCCATGTATGACATACAGTCTAATGAGAGGGCTATCCAGTGAAAACCATGTAACTCCAGATTTGCTGATTTTTAGTTAAGTGTTCCTTTTCATATTAAGAAAATCCTCTTACTTCTTATGCCAACTAAACCATTTAAAATTCCCATTTATTATCTAAAAAAAAAGTTATGATACAAAGCTGAGAAGGGGCTTTTTTCTAAGTTGACAGTTTGGTGGAAATACATGGTTTTCATAGGACAGTAAGACTAACATACTTGGGCAGAAACATAGCAATACAGGAAGAGTGGGGCTGGGTTATCATAGCATTGTTGGGCTTATCATCTGATTGTTGAAATCATGCCTTTGTTGACACTTGAATAACCTTATATTACTTAACAAGGTGTAAATATAAAATGGCTAGAGTTGTAACATCCATTTTTTGTGTTTTAGGATTTAAATGCACATGTTTATTTTCCCACTTTGCTTTTGACTCTGTATTCTCTCTCTTGTCTCTCTTCCAGCCAACACTGGAGATCAACCACCACGCAGGGAAGTCTTTAGACAGCTTCTGTAAGTGGCAGAAAACCATCCAGCACCGCAGCAGCTACGGTAACGCCATACCAGACAACGGGATCGCTCACCATGACACTGCTGTGCTTATCACCAGGTCAGAAATACACACAGACAAACCTTTTTCACAAATCTGTAAATCTGGTCTGAAGATTTTTCATACATGAATAAAGGTAATTCAGAATGGAGACATTATTGTAAAGCTAAAACAAAATTGGTCCCACTGCAATTTTGTGTACATGAAAATATATTTAGTCAATCTCCCACTTCATATAAGGGTTAAAACAGTGTTTCCTCGGAGCTGAATTCTTACATTCCCAGCCCTTATCCTCATAGGTTTTCATTAAGCCAAGTCCAAGAGACTTGGGCTGTATCTTGTCCTGTCTGAGGTGACGATAGCTGAGACCGCTCTGCCCAGCTCAGCATCTGGAGAGAAAATGTAAAAGAGAGAGATATAAGGAGAGAGCAAGAGACAATGTAAGATTATTTTTTGGAGAAAGCAGCTCAGAGAGAATAGAGAAGATGAGAAAGAGGGCAGAAATCAAAGCAAAGCTGCTTAGAATCTGACAGTTTTTTTTAACTTCTCTAACTGCGCTCTCTGTTACTGACACTACTGGAGTAAAACAGATACAACAGTGGTAGATGCATATTAAGCAGATAAAACACTGATGCTATTGACTGAGGAATGTGCAGCAGCAGACAACACAGCCATGGTTTGGTCAGAGTCATCTGAATGCAATGGCAGCGCTGCAACAAATACTTTCCTATTCTTCCTGACAGAATGTGCTATAAGCTTATGTAAGAGTACAGATAGATAAATGTCTTGTGGTTTCGGTGGTGGCTTTGTGAGAACACTTGGGTTTTACGACAGGATTTATCAAGCAGAGGATGGAAACTGTCCAGACAGATGACACCACTGTGACCGTCCAAGATTTCCTGCTATTGTTCTTTTAAATCTATATCTGTCTGCTATTACTGCTGTCCACTGTCCGACTGTAATGTCTGTGTGAGTGCATCTGTCACCATCTATGAATGCACTGTACGTGTCCATGTCAAGTGTGTTTGTACAAGTTTGTCTGTATATGTACAGTGTGATTACATTTACTGAGTGTGAATGTTTCTGTTTCTGTGTGAGTATATAATTATTAGTTTAACAACCTGGTTGATTTTGCTTCCCGTCTGCAGATATGACATCTGCATCCAAAAGAACAAGCCCTGTGAAACCCTAGGTAACACACACACACATATTTGTACTTTATAAACACTATACTTACTCTACTATACTTACCAGACCCCTCAGTGATAATAAAGCATTCCCTTACTCCTAAGCCTGACATAACCCTCATGATTAAATGGCTGACCTCAGCCCATACACTAAACTGAACCAAAATTAAACTCTCAGTGTAACCCATGGAATCAAATCTAAATACTCCAAATGTGAAGGTTCAGGCTGAAGTGAGGGCTGGTCAAACTGTCCTCACTTTTATGATCTGGGGTCTCATTTATGAAGATTGCATATGCACAAAATGAGGCCTGTGTACGCCACTTCACACGCAAAAGTTGTGATCTATGAAAACAGACTTGATTGAAGAAACTTTGACCCATGCTCACAAACATTTTGGAGACAGGAAATTGGTGACACAGTGGGTGAGGTGGAAGCCTGAAATTGTCAAATATTTTTCGGTGCACTCCATTTTTTGCCTTTTGTTGGTACGTACATTTTTAATATAGATCCTATACATTGTTGTATAAATGAAAACCCAGATATGCGAATTGGTCTAGTTTATTTTCACTATTTAATTCACTGTAGAAGTGAGCCCAATGTGAGTAACTGTGCGTTCACACCAAACGCGATGAACGCCACAAGTTTCCATTCAAAATCAATGTCAATGACGCAATGACATGCGATGTCGCTTCAGGTGACGCCTTGGCGATAAGAGCGACGCGATGAAGCGATGACACGTCCTCATTGCGTGTGTCGCTTTAAGTTGAAAAATTTAAACTTTTCAAGCGACATCGCGTGACGCTGTGCCGCGACATCCAATCAGATTTAATCAGATCAAATTATAAGCAACTAACCGGAGACAGATGGACAGGCGGCCCGCAGCTGGGATGGAGCGCCTGTAGTTGGTGTCCAGGCGGGAGATCCTCGCACCGATACGGGCCAACAGGTCCTCAAAGTGGGCCAGCGTCAGCCTGAAGTACCGCTGGAAACGACCGTCATCCAGACGCAGCTCTTGGAGGAGGTGATGATATTCACCCAGCTGTGTGCGTTTCTGGAGGATATTGTGAACCCAGACACGGCGGCGTTTGGGTCTCCGATCCAAATCAGATGTCCACAACAGATAAAGAGCAGCTACGGTAGTTAACTCAGCCATGGTTGACGAGAAAATAGCGGGAGGTGAAGAAAATTGCGGGGATGACATCGCGTCCATCGCTTTTGGTGTGAATGCACATGACTCGACGCGATGTCATCGCCCGTAACGCGAGTATCGCGTCGCTTGATCACAAATGTCACCTTTTTGATCATCGCTTCAATCGCGATGACGCAACCCTCCTCCCGCTATTTTCTCGTCAACCATGGCTGAGTTAACTACCGTAGCTGCTCTTTATCTGTTGTGGACATCTGATTTGGATCGGAGACCCAAACGCCGCCGTGTCTGGGTTCACAATATCCTCCAGAAACGCACACAGCTGGGTGAATATCATCACCTCCTCCAAGAGCTGCGTCTGGATGACGGTCGTTTCCAGCGGTACTTCAGGCTGACGCTGGCCCACTTTGAGGACCTGTTGGCCCGTATCGGTGCGAGGATCTCCCGCCTGGACACCAACTACAGGCGCTCCATCCCAGCTGCGGAGCACCTGTCCATCTGTCTCCGGTTAGTTGCTTATAATTTCTTTATGAAAATGAACACTGATTTGATGTCGCGGCACAGCGTCACGCGATGTCGCTTGAAAAGTTCAAATTTTTCAACTTCAAGCGACACGCGATGAGGCGATGGAAGCGTCATCGCTTCATCGTGTCGCTCTTATCGCCTGAAACGCGTCGCCCGAAGCGACATCGCGTGTCATCGCGTCATTTACATTGATTTTGGATGGAAACTTGTGGCGTTGATCGCGTCCATCGCGTTTGGTGTGAACGCACAGACTATTCTGATCGTAGGGTTCATTTCCTCCTTGGTCATCTTCTCTACTGTAGTTGAACAACAGAATTGTGGACGTTAATCATATCAAACAATCAAAATCTTTTCAGATGGAGGGCCCTGAAGTGAAATCTTATCAATTGGGGGTCAATGACCTAATGTGTATAAATTTAGGGGTCCCTGACAGTAAAAAGATTGTGAATCACTGACTCATAGGAAGGTTTAGTGTGTGTGTTGTTGCTGTATTTGAAGAATCAAAACCTTTTTTTAAAATCTGATGTCTGATGACTTATATTTATATGTGTGTGTGTGTGTGTGTGTGTGTGTGTGTGTGTGTGGGTGTGACAGGTCTGGCTCCTGTTGGAGGGATGTGCGAGCCAGAGAGGAGCTGCAGCATCAATGAGGACATTGGCCTGGGAACAGCCTTCACTATCGCCCACGAGATAGGACATACGTGAGTGAAACGCAATCGCAATACACTTGCCATTTTCAGGCTCGTCTCTTTTTTCGAAAACCCAACACAAATGCACTTTATGTCACAAATGCTGTATATTTCAGTTGACAGTCTTTTTTCTCAGGCTCAATAAAGGCCTGAGTTTTGTTAAACAGTGTACAATAAACAGTATACAACAGGGATGACATGTGATGCATCTTTCAGGACAGGTTTCCACCATGCTGCATGCAGAGACCATGCTAATAAAAGTGGCTGTACATGACATTAAGATCCTTGATACAGCAGCCAAAAATGATTTGCTATGTAAAGATATAGTGGAGTAATGGTGTCCTTAGCAGAGTTGCATCACGCTATCGCTGTTTGTGTTGTATTCCAAGCTTTTCTATTCTTTGTTGTGGTAGCCCGTCCAGCAGGGCATGCATGTTAGTGCATGTGAGTCCCTGTGTGTGTGTTTCACTGGCTAGCTAATCACCGCTGCTCTGCACTGCACTCATACAGTGGTTGCGGTTGATATCAGGACAACCCCCCCCCCTCCAGTTTACCCCATGTTAAAAGTGTCAGCACTGTTGCCATTGTTAGCACTGTTTATTGAGTTAGCACTGTTAAATACTAGCCACGTGCTCAGCCACCTCGATGTTGAGAACTGTGTGCTGCCCTCTGAATCATAGAAAGGCTCTGAATGTTGCATACAGCTTCTTTAAGCAATTCTCCAATGCAATGACTGCAGAGGAGAAGTTCATAACCCCCATGTTGTCAAACCGGAAAAAAAACACCAAATCCCTTCCAGAAATATGGTTGTTGTTCTTCAGCTGCGGCTGAAACACAAAATGTCCCTGAAGGCCTCCCTGGGGTGTCTCATATGTCTTGTCTTGTGTTCTGGTCTGAGATGATCCCTTCCTCCTCAGATTACACCTCTAGATCTCCAGAGAGAGTTTATGTAATCTCTAACACCATGAGTCATCCCCATCCTTTGAGAGTGTGTTGATAGTTGTATATTTTCTTTCAGTCGCAGTATTTATATGTGGAATTGGTTACATGTGGGGTTGGTACAGCACCTGGAGATGCCTCTGTTTATATCTGGATCCTCTGGATGACTTTCAAACTGTGTTTTACTCATTTACCTGGTAAAGCTGATCTCTGTCGCTTAGTAACACGCACTTTTATATCTGCCTGTGTGCTTTATTTCTACCGTGCATACAGTAAATGAAGCGAGGTTACTGATTTTATCCTTCTTTTTTTACTGAGAAAACCATCAAGTTGGTTTATTTTTGGGGAGGATCCTACTCGCTCAGTGTAATTGAGTTCCCATTGCATTATGTCTGCACCCTGAGACATATGGTGGATCATTTGGGGTCTCGCCCTGATAATGATTAACACAGGTAGCTTTCGAGTACTCAAACCACAGGGTTCAATAGCCAACATGACTGGACATAGTGTGCTGATATATACAATCTGCTTCCTCTGCCTCAACAAAATTAACATTTGTTTTTAATTGTCATATAAATTGTTTTGACATCACAGTGCAGCATTAGATTGAATGCAGGCCTGTTTCTGGTGGAGGGTACCCACATGAAAAGACGAGACTGACCGAGACAGAAATGACTCAGCTGAGGGAGGAAAAGCTTTCAGAACATTCAAAACGCAGCTACTGTGAGTGTTATCGCTGTGTGTCATGAATGAAAAGGCAACAAATCGACAGCTAACACTGTTACTTAATACTGTTTGGCAGAGATGGGGGACTCGACTCACATGACTTGACTCGAGTCAGACTCGAGTCGCAAATATGATGACTTGAGACTTGCTTGACTAACGTTGATAAAAGACTCGACTTGACTTTGACTTTGTATTCCTGACTTGAGACTTGACTTTGACTTGAGACAGATGACTCGAAAGGACTTGACTTTAATTCAATATTAAAGGCACGCTAAGCACCGTTGGACGTCACTTCTGTTTACATTCAACAATGTTATCAAACACAATGGAGCTAGCTCGCCCTCCCTCCCCTCCGCCCCCCCTTGTCCTCTGTTTCTCTGTCATGAACGAGCGATAGCTGCTAGGTACCCTGGATTTGCACACCTGTTAAAGGGATAGTGCACCCAACATGAAAATTCAGCCATTATCTACTCACCCTCATGCGGAGGGAGGATCAGGTGAAGTTTTAGAGTCCTCACAAGACTTCAAGGGGAGAGGGGGTAGCAACACAACTCCACCTAATGGAGGCTTATGGCGCCCCAGATTCAAATGTCCAAAAACACATAATTGAAACCACAAAATATCTCCATACTGCTTGTCCGTAGTGATCTAAGTGTCCTGAAACCCCGACATAAAAAGTTGTTTGGAAAAACGACATTTGAGCTCTGTTTTTAGCCTCATTGTAGCCTTGCGCGAGACAATGAGACATGGGCACCGCGTTCATGTGTGTGCTTGCTTTTGCTGGTCTACACTAGTAGACTATCACGATATCATGTCTTTTTTTTTTATATCCCTTTACCCTGTAATGTTGAAGATGGAACACTTCAAATAACAAATTATTTTTATGGACGATACTTTTCATTCTTTGTTATTTAACTATTTTTGTAAGTGAGATTCAGTCCTGGTCTGGGGACCAAGAGCTCTGCTAGTTTTATATCCCACAGGCTTATACAGTTATACAGTTTAAATGTGTCAGTAATGTTGTAACAATTAATTGATGGTCAGAAATTTAATCTGCAGCTATTTTGATAATTGATTAATTGTTTCAGCTTTTTTTCAGTCAACGTTTTCTGGTTCCCGGGTCTCAAATGTGAGGGTCTGATGATGATTTTCTTTGTCATTTAAGATAGTACTTTGAATATCTTATGGTTAGGATTGTTAGTCAAATCTAGTAACAGATTTGAATATGTTACACTGGGCTCTATGGTGTACACGTTTTTGCTGGTGACTGTCTTGGCTGGAGGCATTATGTGTTTAGGTTGTACATCCATCCCATTTTCATCAGTGTGATATCTCAAGAACACCTCAGGAATTTCTTAAAATCTGGCACAAACATCGACATGGACTTAACGATTGAACTGATTAGATTTTAATGATAACATTGATAAATATTTTTTACAGAACACTTTTCATACAAGGGGTTCAGCTCAGAGTGCTTAACAATAAAGATACGACACAAGAGCACAAAGCACAACAACATTAGACAATAAAACGATAGTCAGTAATAACCAAAATATAAAAGTGAAGGTAAAAACTACAGAGACCAGTAAGAATAGTAAAAGAAGAAGAATTACATTAATTAAAAGCCAGACTAAATAAAAAAAGGTTTTCAGCTGTCATTTAAAAATGTTCACCAGGCCAGCATCTCTTATGGCTTTTGGAAGGGTATTCCATTATTTTGGAGCATAATAGATAAAAGCTGTGCTCCTTTTTTCTTGTGCACATAATTATGTGTATTTATAAACCCAGCTGTAGAAGATGTAATAGCTCGTGAAGGATTATGCAACGATAGAGTCTGCAGTGTTGGCCAATTCCAAACCGATGGTCATACTTCAAAGGTTAAAGGGATAGTGCACCCAAAAATGAAAATTCAGCCATTATCTACTCACCCATATGCTGATGGAGGCCCTGGTGAAGTTTTAGAGTCCTCACATCCCTTGCGGAGATCAGCGGGGGGAGCGGCTAGCACACCTAATGGCTGACGGCGCCCCAGACTAACGTCCAAGAACACAAAATTGAATCCACAAAGTATCTCCATACTGCTCATCTGTAGTGATCCATGTGTCCTGAAGCCCTGACATAAAAAGTTGTTTCGAAAAACGTCATATGAACTCTGTTTTTAGCCTCACTGTAGCCTGTAGCTCTGACTGCTTCTCTGTGCTCCACGCTCACGTGTGCGCACTCAGGGTGATCGGTGATGCACGGTCTCTGAAGAGCAGCAGTCTCGTCAGTACTGATGTCCAGATTCTCAAGTGCAGGCATCGCCAATTCCCAGTCTGAGCAGCAAAGACTTTCCTCATCTGTTGGCATTGCTTTGCATTTGAAACAGCTACTCCACCAGGTTTCCAGTGCTCGACTCCGGTATTCTGCGGCTGGCTGAGGGTTAGGCTCATGAGCTGCAGCGGTTGCTTCTCCAGTAGCCTGACTTCCGTGCGTATACTCGGGCTCAAACAAATATAGCTTAACAAAGAAATGCTGTTCCTTCTCAATTTCAAAGTCTTCAGACATGTTGGGCTGTCCTTTGCTAAAAGACCGTAGTGCACAACATCTTTTAGCTACTGTGGTTACTGTTGTCTCCCCCTGCAGTGCACGTGTCACATGATGTAAGCACGGGTAAGCAAAGCTCATGTTTTCGCTGGTCTCGCGCAGGCGCGCACACGTCAACGCAGAGCACAGAGAAGCAGTCAGAGCTACAGGCTACAGTGAGGCTAAAAACAGAGTTCATATGATGTTTTTCTAAACAATTTTTTATGTTGTTGCTGTAGCACACTTGGATCACTATGGATGAGCAGTATGGAGATACTTTGTGGATTCAATTTTGTGTTCTTGGACGTTAGTCTGGGGCGCCGTATGCCATTAGGTGTGCTAGCCGATCCCCCCGCCGATCTCCACAAGGGATGTGAGGACTCTAAAACTTCACCAGGGCCTCCGTCAGCATGAGGGTGAGTAGATAATGGCTGAATTTTAATTTTTGGGTGCACTATCCCTTTAAGATCATTTTGATCTTGCATCAGTCTTACTCTCATGGCCGCGATATCTCAAGAAGGCCTTGAGGAACTTTACTTAAATTTGGCACAAACGTCCACCAGAACTGATTAGAATTTGGTGGGCAAAGGTCAACTTCATTGTGGCATCATAATGTTCTGCAAAAACACTTGTCGACCATTATTCAACATCATATCTCAGGAACAGAAGAGGAGACATTTTGTCAGATACTGAATTGGTGACACTAAACTTTGGTGCCCACCTTAGAATAGAAAATTGGCAGGGCTCCTCCAAGTCCCGATGGACAGAACTAAATGTATTGAAGACCACTGTCTACTGTCTTGTGATAAAAATGATAAAACATCTGATCGGAGATTTTTGCTCGATGAAGCTGAACATTTGTTACAGCTGTGGAGTATACTCTTTCACATTGTGGTGACCTGCCACTTAATGTCAATAATCATATTTCCTGCGGGTTTATGAATCAGGTCATATATCCTTTCTGTGGTTTGATGTTAATTTGATTTATTTTGTCAGACAGGACTCCTGACCTCTGACAATCAAACCGCCACAACATGTCTGTTTTTTAGATCCCACTTGGTTATCCACAGGGATCTTTTTTCCGCTGTCCCCATCCCTGCTGCAGAGACTATTACCGGTCCACACGGCCTCAAAGTGTTGTCACTGTATCATCATGGGTTTTAGGTTTGGGATGAACCATGACGGTATGGGGAACGCCTGTGGGCCCCGCAGCCAGGAGACCGCCAAGCTGATGGCTGACCACATCACAATGAAGACAAACCCATTCATCTGGTCTGCCTGTAGCCGGGATTACATCACAAGCTTCCTGGAGTGAGTCAGCCTATCAGATATCTGCAACACCACAAATAATTTGGTAACTAGAGGTTTGAGAAAGAAAAATTCACTTGGATGTCAGAGTCACATTTTTGATGGTCAAGGAAACACTCAAGTAACAGATGCATCTTGACAGAAGGCAAACCCACTTGAATTTAATTATCTGTTGCTTGTTCAATGTTTCAATAAAGCTATATTACTCTGGATATTCTCAGAAAAACGACTGAAAACTTTGCCAGTTATTTTATATTTTAATCTCCTTTGTGATGTGCTTTAGCTCAGGTATGGGCTCTTGTCTGAACAACGTCCCCCCCAAGCAGGAGTTTGTGTACCCCACCACAGCGCCGGGTCAGGCCTACGACGCAGACGAACAATGCCGATTTCAGTACGGTGTCAGATCTCGACAGTGTAAATATGCGGTGAGTGCCCAGTCTACAATCCTAATTTTCTTTCTCCTTTCAATTTACATTTCCTCTTATGATCAATACTTTTTCTAAACTCAGTGGAACTTTGAGCTGAGGTTGCCATGCCAACATGCGTTAACCTGCTGATGTTTACCATGTTTACCATCTTAGTTTAGCATATTAGCAACACAGTGCAGTGGGACTGATAGGAATGTCATTCATTTTGCAGGTATTTGGTCACATCAAGGTTACAAATTAAAATTTCAAATTGATGGCGTTAGATGAAAAGTCAGGGGCACACCAGTGTCAGTAGGAGTTACCCTCTGGGGATCATGAATGTCTGTATGAAATTTTGTGCCAAGGCCTCCAGAAGTTTTTGAGATGTTTGAGTGTGGGCCAAAATGGTGGACTAGAGGGCCACCCCTTGCCACCCCTAGAGCAATAATGCCCACAGCATGGCGGCTAACCAATTTATCTTGTCTCACTTTATACTGTATTGTTATGTATCATTGTTCTATTTTGTCTTTTTCCTGAGTCCCTTAATCGTGTTTGGGAGCAGGGTGACCCCATATGCTGTATATAAAGATGGATGGCATGACAGCTCCATCACCCCCTGGTGGCTGGCTGCAGTATAAGTCATAAACTCCACCCCTTTCATGTTAGTGGATGAGACACTGGCCAAACTAAAAAACTAAAAACAAAGTACACGTCAAATATGTTAAAATATTTGTTTTTATGGTAAGTTTGGTTTTAATAAGTTATTTATTGCAATAAGTGACAGCTGTGCGTGTCAGTCGATGTGCTTGCAATTGGGTCAGACAGGTGTATGGCTCCACCTCCCGATCACTACCGCACAGACTAAGGGCCCTATTTAGATCGTCTAAAGCGGACGGCGGAGGGTGCATAATCCATGTACCAAGTGTCATTGCTATTTAGATGAAGGCGCAGTTGTCATTTTCACGCCCTGCGCCCTCGTCGTCTAACTAGCAAATGAACTTGCGCTTCTCTGGGTGTGTTGGTCTAAAAATGAGGAGTGGTCAGGCGCAGTCATGGCGCGTTGCTAGTTAGATGACGTAAAAAGCAAATGCGCCAGTGACCAACAAAAACCTGGTCTAAAGTCAAGGGCGCAGTATTTCGCTGTTAAACAAGTTAGTAATATGCGTCTCTAGGCAGGTGCACAACGCACGTGCACTCTGCTCACACACACACGGAGCAGCCACACACATGCAAAAGATAACAAATAAAAATATGATTACAATGTGAAAGGTTATTATTGTGCACATTAAAATATTTATCAGAAACACATCTTAATGGTCAGTCATTAATCAGAATGATCTAATCGCAGTAATAATGATCATCATAATCCGGGTGGTCCAAGCTCGCAGTGTCCGAACATAAGGAACTGCGAGTAGACCTCCACGGGCTGATGATGCATAGCCTGTAAAATGAACTTGTCTTTCCCAAATGAATTGTGATCATTTTGGCATGTAAATCACAAAATCAAAGATGTGAAAACGTTTGATAAACTTTATTTTGACATAAACACAACAATAACCAGCTTCTGTGAATTAAAAATGTAAAGTTATAGCCCTACAAGTACAAATGTATATGTAAAAAAAAAGCTTTTAGAACGTAAAACTGAAGATCGTCTTGTCAGGAGGAGGAGGATGACCCCAGCTCCGCAGCCAGCGCGCAGCCAGACCAGACGGCCCGGGTGCAGTCATGGGACCATCCCTTCCTGCACCTTCAGACAGACGGGGGGGTTCAGGATGCTGGAGAGGGAGCTGGGCTCTCTAACCTCCCGGGTTAAAATAAAATAAATTGATTAATTTACAATTTGTTGACAGCGTTTCTCTCGTGCGCGTGCGCTCTCTCTTTCTCTCTCGCAGTCTCACTCTGTTTCTTTCTTTTGACTTTTCTAAGATGACAGATGCTGAATATAGTATACTCCCTATCTGATGCTGTGGCTGTTTGTGGCTGGCTGAGAGGGATGTGAACTGAGTAGTTTGCAGCTGTGTTACTGTAATCAAATCAGGTTGGGTTTCCATTAAGCGTGCCAAACGGTGCCAATCCCCTTTGATCTGACATCAGATGTGACGGGACAGTCGATATAGAGATACATTTATCGTCTCCTCAGCTGTAAAACGCTCACTCTTTCCAGTTGGTAGGTCCGCCATCTAACTAGCTCTCCGCCGTGTGCTCCAATCACGCCTCTTTTAAAGGGAATGAGAGGTGACACTCTGGTTGGCTTATTGAATGATACGCCCAAAACACACACATGACTAATTCACAGAGTAAGTCCAACCCTTTTAGACTCTCCGCCATGGCGCACAGTCTGAAAACACGCTGTCTAACTAGCAAGTGACTGGGACACGCCCATGCGCCACACGCCTGGCGCTTTGCGTTTTAGACCATCTAAATAGGGCCCTCTAGCTCCAAAGCGTGTGTGTGTGTGTGTGTGTGTGGGGGGGTGTCAATAGATAGACCCTAGTACATGCAGTCAATAGATGAGTCAATAGATGACCCTAGTTTCAAGTCTGAAACTGTCCTAACCCCCCCAAATCACACAGATGGATTGTGTATCATAAAAATAATGATACTTGTTAAAGCTTCTTAATTTTTGTCAGCAAAGATCTTCAGTCATCCAGGTCAGAGAAAATCTTGAAGTCAAAGGGCAGCTGCTATTACAGTTTATAAGACATTTCATCACTTGTTCAAGAGGCTTTGTCAGTTGTGCCGTAAAACAGACCTGATGAAGCCTCTTTGATATTGTAGAAAAGATTGAAATAATAAGCACAGTCCCCTTTTGATTTTCATAACTCCAGCTTTTCAATTTCTTAGTTATGATGGAACCAAGCTGACTTAATCTTTCTGCTCAAGCTGACTCAATCTCAGTAAAGTTATTTACCTCACGGCTCACTCCTGATTTGTGTTCCTCCAGCTCTCTCCTTCAAGTTGGCCTCTTTGACAGCGTGAAACATTTTGCAATACCTTCACTGAATAGCATTCAATTTATTGTGTGGTCAGCTTTTATGGGGCCAGGTTCAGAGCGAATGGACATCTGGAACAGCATACAGCTTTATAGACTCATTACTATCGATACTATGTGGTCAGAGCATATGTCCACAATAAAACATAATCCCATGTGGTATAGGCATCGCTGTAGAGGGAGCAGAGAGGAAGGTGAACAAGAGTGTGTCTGCTCTCATGTCTTTATAATGATATGATGAACTTATGTAGAAACAGTGTGACTGGTTGTTTTTATTCTCCTGCCACTCACACACACAGGAAGTCTGCAGTGAACTTTGGTGCATGAGCAAGAGCAATCGTTGCATCACCAGCAGCATTCCCGCTGCGGAGGGAACCATCTGTCAGACCAACACCATAGAGAAAGGGGTAAGTACTGAAATTAACCTTTTTATTAGTTAACAGACTTAACACATACTGGGGGAAGTGTTTCCACAAAAGAAAGAGGCTAAATGTGGCTTGCGTGGGTAGAATGACTTTGTTCATCGGGGACTGGTTCTGCTTCTTACAAGAATAAGAACAGCACTGACTCATCTTGGCTGTTGTTTTGTTTGGATAGCACAGTTTCCAATAAAAATATTTGTGGGATTGACCATTTTCAGAACAAAAGTCACCCTGTAAAACACAAACAAGCTAAAAGCAACTGTTCTTGGGATTTTAGGATATCCTGTCCAGTTGTTGTTTATGTGTGAATTCTGTCTGTCTGAACATGTGTATAAATATATGTGTATGTGCTGCAGTGGTGCTACAAGAGGGTGTGTGTGGCGTACGGGACTCGTCCGGAGGGTGTGGACGGGGGCTGGGGTCTGTGGTCACCCTGGGAGGAGTGCAGCAGGACCTGTGGAGGGGGAGTCTCCTCGTCTATCAGACACTGTGACAGCCCCAGGTATAAGTCTCAGCTGTGACAAGTCTGAAGTGCATCACTCTTTCAGTGGGAAACTCTACTTCATGGTCAAGTTGCTAACTTCAAAATGACTGGATATGTAAGGGCCAATAGAACAGGTGTTTTGAATGTAAGGGCCCAAACACACCAAACCGACATCAAATAACTACTGGCGACGAAGGCTGACTTTTGCGTTGCCACACATCACCTGCGTCTCTGCCAAAAAGTTGCACTTGAACACACTGCACACACTATAGCCAATGACCAACTAGTTACGTTCTGCGCATGTGTTAGAGAAATTAACTCTCCATACCAGCAGGTGGCGGTATTCACTATTTGTCATTCAAAACGGGAAACCGACAGGACAAATTCAAGATGCCTGATGCCGAAAGAACAAAGGATGTGTACCATGCAGTACCGAACAATAACACAAATAATTACAATTTGTTCCTGCTAGAGAGCTCAATGGTTACATTTTTATTTTTTTTACCCAATATAACAAGTTTAGTTCAGTCTCTGTCTCTCGACTTTGGCTGTTTGTTCCCTGTTCTTACTTTTGTTTATCTTCTCGTGCACTGAGCTAAACTGCCAGTAAGAGCGATTTAATTTACCAGTGGGTTCCACCATGTCATTTGTCGCTTCACTGTGCTGAATCAGCCAAAAACAGCTGACAAGGATGAGCTACTGCTAACACAGAGTGGGAGACACAACACAAAAACCAGGACGCAAATAGATGCTCACTGATAGCCTGACATTGACTGACAGCCAACGGTCGACCTGGTGTGTCAGGGGCCCTAACAGTGAAATTAGTCAGTTAATTTCTTACTAGTTAGCCACCTTGAAGAGACTGCAGTTGCAGCATTGTGTCAAATATAATACACTGCTTTACATGATAGGCAATGTTTTCTTTTTCCAATCAATCTCAGTACAACACTCACGTGCCCATATGTACATTGACGGAGTTATTGGTCGCTCTTATTGTTCCTCCTGCCCATGCTGGCTGATACCTTCATGGAGTGACTACACTGTAAGACATGGACAAAATCCACATTCCACTTTCTGTGCAAAAATGATAATAAAGTTCAGCTGTACAGGAAGTATCCTTCCAGCACGCTTTAGAAAGGAAACACCCTGCACAGGAATGCAACAAGGGAATTTTGTGCTAAAAAGACTATAATTCCTTAAGATGCCCACTTAATGTGGATAAATTAGACAGTTGAAGACTCATATTAGTTTCCCCCATCACTTACAGTGTAGAAGTCACTCTATGGTATTGGTTCAGGGGGGATTTAATATAGGAACCCATAACTGGGTCCAGACCTTTGAATCCACCCACTCCACTGAGTTAATGGTGACTGATTCATCTAACATCATCATCACTGACATATAACAGTGGTTTCTCGGTTAAGATAAAAAACAACCAATGAGTGGCACAGGCGGGACTAGCACCTTTGTCAAGCTCTTGTCAAGCGGCGTGCCAGAACAAATAATAGTAATATCAACAATGGTGAGCACTATAGACAAAATAGGCACTGTTACTGAGGCTGCTCTAAATTGGCATGTTGCTTAATATCGCCCAACATCACAGGCCATTTTACTTTTGCTCAACTCTCAAAATCCCGGGAAAACATCCCCCTTATGTTGGCATGGCTACTCATCAGTGTGGACTCAAAACGGCATTAGATTCAGGCGGATACATTGGTTTCTAATGATTGGTTAGGCAAAATAAAATCCCTCCCCCACAGAAATCGGTTAGAGTGGATGCAGTGTCAGAGTGAAGATGAAAATGGAGTGTAACAAGTTGACAGTTGTGTCTGTTATCAGGCAAGATTCAAAAATACATTAAGCACATTTGTAAGTGTCATGTACTTATAAACATAAATGAAAACCTGTGTAAGTTCCCCTTTCATCTTAATATGTTTTTTTATAATTGGGTATATGTGAAATTGTAATGTTTTCATAGATGGACAGGTGGATATCACTGTTTTTCAATCAGAATATCAAACCCTAGTCTTGTGTCGGCTTAAAAAGGCCTGCTATGAAAGACAGTTTTAAACACTTTCTATATACTGTTTGTATAATATGCATATCTAGATATGTGCTGCATATGGAAAAATAATCCCAGTCAGTCCCAAAACAATATAAAAACATAAAAGAGCACTGGTATCAGCCAGTACCTCAGGTTTGGGAGTTGTTATCAGCAAAGGTAAAGTTAGACAGTTCTATCCCGAGAAAACTGCTTATCAGTTTTACCTGTGAGAGGAAACTACAGCGCTCAGATAAAGCTGTAAGAACATGCAAACTCAGTGCAGAAAGCACTATGGCTAAGGTTTATTTCCAGGCAGCAGTGCCACTGTCTTTATCATGTATGAAGTAATTTAGATAGTCTGAATCATCACCAAAGGGCGAGCAGACTCTATTTTGAATCAGAGTCACCAGATCCCTCACCTTGAACTGATTAAACTGGAATGAACCGACCCAAATCTGAGGCCAACAGTGTTTTCTTTTGTATCATATCTGAGCATGGTTTGCACGTTTGCTTTGGCTCCATTCTGTTCAAGTTTGTTGAAAGTTTAGCAGAGGCAGCCATTTGACGGTGATCGGCTCTGACGTCCTTGTCAGCTGGTTTTGGGTTTTTTTTTTTATTATTATTATTTTAATGCAGAGGTGTTGTTGTGATGGTGTGTGATAGACAGTAAATCAATAAAGGAGACAGACAGTGAGATTGAAAACACACAGACGAAGGCAGACAAAGCAGAGATCGGGAGCCAGTGTAGTGTGGTGATGTGATGGAGGTTAGATGTTGTTAAATTGTACTCAGATGTGACTGACTGGCCTAATTCTCTGTGTTTGGTTGTAGGCCAACTATTGGTGGAAAGTATTGTCTGGGGGAGAGAAAGCGCTTCAGGTCCTGCAATATTGATGTGAGTATTGCTGATCTTCATCGTCATCGACTGGTAAACATACGCTAATCAAAATCATGAATATTATTTGATTTAATTCATTTTATGTTGCTCACTGCATGGGACCCTGATTGCATGCATTTGTGGTTGTATATATTATATATACCTGTGTATGTGTATATATGTATGTTACCTATGTATTTGTTTATATATGTGTTACCTACATATGTGTATACATATATGTGCGTGTGTTACAGGAGTGCCCTGCAGGTTCTCGAGATTTCCGTGAGATTCAGTGCTCTGATTTCGACAGCGTTCCTTTCCGGGGAAAGTTTTACACCTGGAAACCATACAGAGGAGGTGAGCGAGTAACCGATCTCTGTATGGGGTGTGTGTGTGTCTGTGTAACTATCGACTATGTGTGTCATCATTTGCACCGTGGTGATCTCTACCTGTTTGTAGATCCACTTAGTGTTTTAGCATCTTTCAGATGATTGTTTCAGTTTTCAATTCGACAACTTTACAGTTTTAGTTCAACACCTTTTCTAGCAGCAGACAGCTATTTACAGCAAAAAGCTAAATTCAACACTACCTGACCAGTTGAGTTAGCGACTAGGGGGTGAACATAGTTGATATTTCCTTCAGACGTTGGTGTAGATTTACACTTAAATGCATAACTACGTGTAATAATAACCCAGTCACACAGAATGATAAATCTCTCTCAGTGGGGGATATTGCATAATGTGTTTCACTTTTGTTAATCATTTACACAGTTTTGGTTGTAGTTACTAATTGCTATACAGTAATACAACTTAGCAGGACATACACTTTATGGAGTATTTTTAGATTGTAGTAAAAACTACAGGCATTTTCTTTGATAACAACAATTAAGAAGCGACAGTAAATTAGGGGAGAGAGAGGAGTGATGACATGGAACTTAAGTCCCCTGTCGACCCGAAAAAGCAGACTATTTTACTTTTACTTTACTTACTTTTCTAAACTTAACTTATGTAACTTATCGTATCTAAACCCAACTTGCTAAACTTTATGTGTCTAAACCTAACCTACATCATTAAACATGTCTAAACCTTACCTATATAATTTTACGTGTCTAAACCTAACCTACGTACTTTACTTTCCTAAGCCTAACCAATGTAACTTTTCTTGTTTAAACTTGACGTATGTAACTTTTCTTTTCTAAACCTAACCTACATAACTTAACTTTCCAAAGTCTAACCTACGTAACTTTACCTGTCTAAACCTAACCTGCATAACTTTACTTTCCTCAGCCTAACCTACGTAATTTTACGTGTCTAAACCTAGCCTACGTAACTTTACTTTCCTAACCCTAAGCTACGTAATTATACTTTCCTAAACCTAACCTACGTAACTTTACGTGGGTAAACCCAACCTATGTAACTTTACGTGTCTAAACCCAACCTACGCAGCTTTACATGTGTAAACCCAATCTGTGTAACTTTACATGTCTAAACCCAACCTATGTAACTTTACGTGTGTAAAACCAACCTGCGTAACTTTACGTGTCTAAACCCAACCTACGTAACTTTACGTGTCTAAACCCAACCTACATAACATTACATTTATATAACTTTACATGTGTAAACCCAACCTACGTAACTCTACGTGTCCAAACCCAACCTACGCAACTTTACTTTCCTTAACCTAACCTACGTAAATTTGTGTCTAAACCCAAACTACATAACTTTACTTATCTAAACCTAGCCTATGTAACTTTACTTTCCTAAATTTAACCTACTTACTGAACTTTCCTAAACATAATTTATGTGTCTTTATGTGAAGTACTCAATGTGACAACCTAATTCGTGGAGCGCTCATTCATTAGATGTCATAAAAATTGTTGCATGAGGATATGTCGGCAAGTACATGGGCAGCATCTTAAATCCCCAGGCCACCAGGACTCCCGCTATTCCACTGAATTACAGTATTAGGTAAAAGATAGTTTCATCAGCACACCTGCAGGTTTACAAACAAATTTTAAAAAAAAACACACACTGCAAGTTAAAGAAAAGTTGTATTCCTATAAAAACAAATTTACATCTTCTGTGACACTGTGATAATGTACTGTAACATATCATTTCTGTTCCACTTGTTTGCCAACATTTTCTTGAAAGAACAGACAAAGCTACAGGCTGATTTAGAAGAATAGTGGAGAATATTAAAGATGAATAGGACCGAGAGATTGGAGCCAAGAGCTGATGACAGAAGACGAACAGAAGTCAGGAGACGGAGAGTAGCGTGTGTGTGTTTGTGTGTGTGTGTGTGTGTGTAGAGAGAGAGAGGAGAAAGTGAATTGAACGGGCAGATTCCCTTCTGTCTGGCCTGCAGATGCTGGCTGCAGAGAGCCATGCATTCCCACAATGCCTTGCGAGAATTCCTTGCTCCTGATGAGCACTACGCTGGACGTGAAAGATAAATAGCTTCAACGACATAACTGCCTTTAATCTAGCCCTCCAATAACATAATGGCTTACAGAGATGGCCAGCCAGCCAGTTCCAACTTCAGGCAACAAGTGCTCCTTTCATCAAGTCAGCTGATTTTACAATGGAAATCCCTTGCAGCTGTTAAAATAGGAACAGTGCCATAGACTCTGCCCTGCGTTAAGGCCAGATCACACCGCCCAGCCCCTTCCCTGTCCTCTGCAGCCCTCTCACCCTCCTCAAATTCTCATTTCAGCTTTGCCTCCTTTCACTTTTACCCTCAAACTCAGGGAGGACAGCTTCTTTTTCGTCTGCTTGCTCTCTTACCTTTGTCCTCATTGCTCTGCTCTCTCCTTTTCCAACTTTATTTAGTTCACCATTATGCAATCTCTCTCTCTCTGACGCTGAGAACAGAGGCAGCCTTTTTGCCTCAGCTCAGGCAGCCGAGGACAGTTCATTAAAACAGGTCTGTCGTTTAAGCTGCTTTTTTTTTTAACAAACAAGCTGCTTCACATTGCTGCTCTTAGTCCAAGCCTTCACATTTAACCTTCACACTCCATACAACACACCCTGCAAGCTACAATACACATACACACTTCTGCAAGCCGCGATTGCCCTGCCAAAGCTAGGCACCATGGGAATTGTAGTTTTCCGTGGTCTGACCACTTTATCGTCTGCAGGCCGTGCCAGTACATACTCTCTTTCTCTCTCTCTCTCTTTTTCTCTTCTTCCCAGTACATACTGTACCTGCTTCAGTGCTGCCAGCACAAACAAACACTGCCCAGACTGATGTCAGCAGCCACTCAAATAGTGGAGCTGTTGGCAGCTGCTCAGATGAATGAAGGATATATACCACTTGGCTGGAGAAGACCTCTAGCAACTCTGTGTGTGTGTGTGTGTGTGTGTGTGTGTGTGTGTGATGGTAGTGAACAGTTAAAGCAATAGTGGTATAGTTATGCAGGCGGACATCATACATACATACCGTATGTGTTTTTACAACTGTGTGTATTTCTGGATTTTCTTTGTCACAGTGTATTTAGACATCACTTGCATCACTACTTACATCACGCACCAGTGCAGCCACTAAATACTGAACACATACGCAACTAAAGGGCTAGAAAGATTAGTCCATAAATTGGCAACTATTTTGATGATAAATGTTTCTTATATGATAGGAAATTGGGAAATATATTTCCATTTTGAGCTGTTGGTTGGCAAAAATAACTTGTTTGAGTATGTCGGTCCTGATACCATTACCTTGGCTTTGGGTATTGGCGGATACAGTTCCGATCAGATAACGGTGTTTTATTAATGAGCTCCATGCTTCACTGTGTGAAAGAGACTGGAATCGAAGGTAACATCAGGCTTGACTTAAACATTGCTCTCCTAACCTTGCAAAACAAAATGTAATAACTATAAAGATACAAATTTACTCAATTAAAGTTACTTATTTTTTTTATTTTTAAAATTATAAATTGTGCACCAGCAACTTGGTAAAACAAACAGGAATTACAGTTTAAGTGTTAATCTGTCTTGTCTATGGATGTGTGCGTGTATATGCACATATGTATGTGTATATATAAGTGTAAATGTGTGCATATGTATGTATATGTATGTATGTACAATATATAACAATGTATATATGGGTGGGCGTATATGCATTGGTTTGGTGTTTGTGTGGACGATTGTATGTACGTGTGTAAAGATGAATTTCGATGCAGCTAAGCCGAGACTAAGCCAATTTGAGCTAGCCTGGTTCCAGACCATAGACCCCGCCCACTCAACTGAGTAGGCTTGCATCTCTGGTCTGGCATACTTCAATGAATTTGCAATTTATCTCGTCCAAACGATGGACAGACCAATGAACGCCGGGGGTCTAGCGATTAGCCAATCAGCGCCACGCTGATGTCAAGCTGTGCGCCGGTGGGTAACTGGTGAGGATAGCAACAATGGCGACCGCTACAGATCCTACAGACCACATTAGCGATGCTATCGAGGTATTTCGCCACTACTCGCACTAATGGAGGACCAAATTAAGGAAGCTGCTAAACTGGATTTAACGGCGATGCAGTTGGGCGTGCACGACGGGCAATGCTCGCTTGTTTTCGGCACCCCCGAGGCATGGATACTAATGACGTCAGATTCTGGGTGAGTCATTGATTCTCTACTGATTGGTTAGGGAAAAATCAAATTCCCTCCCCCTTGTAAATCGCCTTCAATGGAAGCCATGTCAGACTGAAGGTTCTGGGAGCTTCAGTCTGACACTCAGGCTAAATTTGAGCAACATTTTTTTTTACTTTTTTTTTGTTTCTTTCTTTCATTCTCTAATATTTTCTTTTGCTCTATATTGGCTCTTTGACATTGTGTTAAAAGGGTAGACAAAATAAGCCCTGGCTTCTGTCAGTTTCTCGTTATACTTACTCATTGTTAGTGCTCTGCCTGTGGGTGAGCATACATTCACTAAGGTAGTATTTTGTAGTTTTATCCATGTGTGTGTGTTTGAGGGAGGCAAGGACCTAAACACATTCAGCTGCTTGTTCTCTTATTGTCAGCACTGAAAAACATTTCCTACTCCCCCGCAGACTCTTTGCTCTCTCACCCTGCCTTCCCTCTTTGCACCCCTCATGAGGACATGATGCATTCAGCAGATTATGTGTGAAAGACTAACCACATATGTCGATGTGACTCATACCACTGTTTACCACAAGGACCAACAAAACAACCGTCTGAAGTAGATTTATATACATCAATGTCAGTGGTCCTTCGATCATAAAACAAGTGTTTAAAAGTGTAAAGTTTCCCTGCAGGGGTTTTGATTGCTGTCTCAGTGACTATTTTATCAGTCCGCATTCAAATTTAGCACAGTGTGGGGCCTATTACGTTAGCACAGGCTGCAGAATACTGGCCACAAGCTAACATGCTGATGAAATTTCAGTTCTTGGAGAGATTTCTCAAAAGCCTCTTGATCCCTTTTTATGACATTTAGTGGGCAAAGATCTTGTTTGAGCTGCATCAGGGAAACAAAACCCATATACTAATGTTCAGTGTTGGGCATGTTAGTAGTTACCGTCATATTTAAGTATTAAGTTACTTTACAATATAACTCTCTGTGTAGAGTAAAGTTTTACTTATGACACTAGAAGGACAAGGCATTATGAATGGATGAGGGTCATGTTTCATAGCAGGTATTAAAGCACTAAAGCTCTAGTTCATTAAGGTGCATTTCAAATCCAGTGGTGCACAGGTCTGACCCATTCATACATCCACATACAGTGGTTACCACTTTGTATTAAAGTCCTCTGCTTGTATTGATACAGAGCAGTTAAATAGCCTAGAACTTTTACAATAAACAAATACCACTAGACTCAGGGAGGCTGGCAGAAGATCAAAGTCTGATAAATTATGAGATATGGATACATATTTTTAGGCCTCTCATATGAAACACAGGTTAGAGCAACAAACGGATTGGCGTGTGAGTAAGTCACCATGACGAATGCAAATTAATACACTGGAGCTGGAAGACCCACCTGCCAGTTCCCAGTGTGCCTGTCAGCAATAACAGCACCAGCGAGACTGTTTGGGTCTTTCAAATATATTGTAAGTTATCATTTACATGTAACTGTCAAAACTACCTGTTTTCTTGAAGGGAGTCTCTTCTATGTTGACTTTAAAGTTCAAGCATGACCTTGGAAAAATAAGTTAATGAAACAGTCTCACATCCCCTCCATTTAGTAGCTGTTTTGGACCTTTAATCACACTATCTAATCATTATGGTGTTTTACAGCATCGGAGAAATGCCGTTGCTGTTTGTCACTAAGTTCAGTAAATCAATACAAAAGAATACTACATAGAGCAAAATGTTTTTATTGGAAGAGCTTGAGGGTGACATGTGTCCCTCTATTTTTCATTCATCATTTGTGACTGTGTACAATTGTATTTGATGTATAGATTTGTGTAGACATATAGTACATGTGCTGTGTAATGTATGCCTACTTACATTTGGGGTTGTGCATGCAGCCAGGCTTGAATGTATTGTTATCCATGTTTGTGTGCTGTAATGTTGATAGATCAGGTATATTGATACTGTATGCTGTGCTCCCTGTGTGTGTGTGTGTGTGTGTGTGTGTGTGTGTGTGTGCGCGCGCGCACGTCTAGGTGGGGTGAAATCCTGTTCTCTCAACTGCCTGGCAGAAGGATACAACTTCTACACAGAGCGTGCTCCAGCTGTGGTTGACGGTACACTTTGCCGAGACGACTCTCTGGATGTGTGTGTAAACGGAGAGTGTAAGGTGAGATTAAGACCTTTCTTTGTGTGTGTGTGTGTCTGTGTGTGTGTCTGTGTGTGTGTCTGTGTGTGTGTGTGTGTGTGTGTGTGTGTGTGTGTGTATGTGTGTGTTTGTAAGCACCCATTTGATTGAAATACATTAGAGCCATTAGACGTCTGCATGTGAGGACGGAGGATCAACACAAGACTGAGATAATACTGTTTATACTCGCCCTCTAGACTCTGGACAGCCGCCACAGTCTAGTTTACACACTGACTGCTGACGATCATCACAGTCAGCTGCTTAACTGAGAAACTGTCTTAACTTTGGCAGCGATCTTAGATTCCCATTACCGATTACTCTCTTAATCTCGGCTGTTAATGAAAACAAAACATCTAACTGCTGTTCATTTTGTAGTGGAGACCACCTGGAGCTCCTACAGGTTCTTGGAACCCATTTTGACACCCACATGGCCTATTTGTCAAAGGACATAAACCAGTAAAAAAAAAAGCTAATGTTAATAGTGCACAGCTTATGTGGATGGTGTTGATTCCCAATCTGCTGTTCGTTCCACTTGTTTGTTTTGGATGTTGCTCTTCTCCAGAAAGTAAGTTGAAGCTTTGGACAGGGGAGAAAAAGATGTGAGGAGGAGTGCGTGAGGATATTCAGCTTGTTATTTTGTGGTTGCCTGGTAAAGAGCCAAAAGATTTTATTTTTCTGTTCTCCCTTTCCTGTCTCTTACCCCCCGTGATCTCGCCTTATTTTCAGTGTGTCAGAGGTTAGATAGGCCGAGGAGCGGAGGGAGGCTGCACTCATCCAAAAAAGAGGATTTTGTTTATCAACATCTCCTCACTGTTCTCTCCTCCTGCACCTCTCCTCTGTTTTTCCCTCTGCACTGTTCTGCTCCGGAGGAACTCAGTGACCCTCCAGCTCAGCTGTTAGTCTGTCTGCACTGCAGGCAGGCTCTCATTCACTGTGCTCTTATTATCTCTCTCTCTTTTTCTCTTTCCCTCTCTGACTCTTGCTTTTTCTCTCTATGTCCCTCCTTTTTTTCTCTTTCACTTTCTTTTTCCTGCAACTTTTCTGTCTGCAATCCAGTCAGAGCTTCTCCCTCCCTCCTCCTCTCACCTCTTATATTTTTTATGTACATGTAACACTTCAAACACACTTTGGAAAAATGACCCTCTCTTGCTTTCATGCTGGTTACAGTTCTGAGATTGGAGTCTGACGCTGAGGAGAGGGGTGAAACAGAAGGAGAGGATTAGAGGGTTTGGGAGGTAGAAATAGGACATGGGCACTAGTGGTGCAGTTCAGTACAACACGCCGTGCAGACAAAAGGCTCATCTGTCAGAGCCCCTTTTTCCTGGATCTCTTAGACAAAATATAGAGGGAAAGATTTACTAGGAAAATAGTGTTGCACAATATGCACTGCAGTTTTAAGATACAGTCAGCTCCTGGACTGAACCTGTTACTAAACCTCTAGACACTCTGCGAGTGAAGGAGAGCTCATAAGTGCAGTTAACAGATTTCTATGAGATCACTACGCTCAGAAGTGAAATGATAATGTGGTGTTTTTGATTGCAAAATATTTACTTTGGCGAACTCCACCTAAGAAAAACTATTACTCAAAATATTACTCAGGAAATTATATTATCATCTTTAGCCTAATCCAGACAAAACAGCCTAAACAGTGATGCACAAAATATGCATAATGTGCAAATGGCATTGCGACTGGTGGGTGGAGAGACAGAATGGGTAAAGGTGGGGATGGTGCTGACATAGATGTTAATGCTGAGGTCAATACCAAGCCAAATGCAGACATAATTGTTAAAAGTTTAGTCACAGCCTGCAGTTTTCATTGATGGTTAAATCAATGAACACAAACCATAACATGCGTCCACTTTTCATCCATTTAATGATAATTAATTGTGGTGTGAGAATCAATTTTTACAGCTGCAATGTGCTGTTTCTCACTTTGTGTTCTATTGGCCCCAATGAGCTCTGGGAAACACTGTCTGCATGTAGACACAAGAGGCATCCTGCTAGTTTAACCTTTAATAACTCACCACTACCTACATTATAAAGCCACCAGATAACCATGAGGTGAATCACAGTTTCACCCTTTTGTGCATTTAGTTTTTGAACTGTGATCTAATCAGTGTAAAAGTAATAATAAACCTAAGCCTCATTATCCCCCTCTACAATAAGCAACTGCCACATGAATATATGCGACTGAGAGCAGTTGCCATTCGTTCTCTACTCTCTTGTTTAGGTTCGCTGTTAAAGAGTTTGAGTAAAACCACCTGCTTCGCTCATCATGAAACTTATTTATGTCGACAGCTATGAGTTTAGCAACCTAAGAGCATTATGTCTGCACAGGATCAGAAAACACATCTGGACTTACCATCTGATACTTCTGTGTTTTGGAAAAGTGGTCTGGAAGACATTAGAGGTAATCCCTTAGCCCGGCCTCTGACACCTCTCGACTTACTGACTGTGCCCCCTGACCCTGAGTGACCCTGCAGCTCACTCGTTTCTCCCTTCTCACAGCACGTTGGCTGTGATCGAGTCCTCGGTTCGGACGTTCGCGAGGACCGCTGCCGAGTCTGCGGGGGTGACGGGAGCCGCTGTGTGTCTGTGGAGGGACTCTTCAATGACTCACTGCCCGAAGGAGGTATAGAACTAAAACACTCAAGCACCAGTGCACCAGTCATCTCATTAATTTTTTTTCGAGAGCTGCTGCAGCAGATGTTTCTAGACATATGGATGAAGATGATTTAATTGGCAGGGAGGGAAGAGCGGTTTAAAGTGGATTTGGAACAATCTTTGCTCTCTTGAGAATCAGATTAGATTTATGTGAGGCATTTACCATGAGAAGTTATGCAACATACAGTAATTGCTCGGTTGTCCCAAAAATGTGCACATGCAACGTTTGGATTCTGATACTCTGGCCTGTGAATGCATCTTGGAAGGCTGCCTTGTAATGTGAGTTAGGATACCCCAGACATTCAGAATGTATCATATAATTGTCTGTTCACATGCAAACTCTGTCCACAGCAGCATACTGTTACAGTTATTTATTTGATAAAGCCAACAAAACTCCACGTAGCTGCAGGAGAATCATTTATTTCAGCACCTGCTGTGCTTAGAGATAAATGGTGTGTATATTCAACAGCTGAGAGTTGATCCAGCCCAGATTTAAAGTTGGCATTACAGATAGTAATATTCACTAGTCTTATCCATCATAGTGTCTGCATTAAGCAGTTTTTCAGGACCACAGGGGACACATCTTTTATTATTATGTTATATTACAGCGTCAATGAAGTCCAGGTAGTCCTTTGAAACCTCAATGGAAAGCCTTGTAAATTTATTAGTCCGTCAATATGGGCTTTGTATAGGGTTGACAGGAAGATATAATTGCGTGTCATCTGCATACAAATGCAGCAGTATGTCTACTAATGACATGAGGGGAAACATGCACATAGAGAAAAATATATGGCCTAGAATCGGCCTTTGAGGTACACTGCAAGTAAGTTTTGCAGACAAGGAAATTAACCTACCAAGTTTAATAGAAGCCCCGTTATTTAGACTTTACCTGGAGGACTGGTATGTCCGAATTCAAATGTCTAAATCTGCTGGATCAGACATTAAACGTACTTTACCCTGCCAGCTCCCTAGTACAAATTCTGAGTTATGTCCAGTTGAGCCCATGTGTGAACAGAGCAGGTCACTGTCCGTAGAATTCACAGCAAGCAAGTGGGCATGTTGATGACATTTCTATCATGAGGCACACGTGAAACCAGAAGAAAACAAACATCCAAGGGTGAACAAGAAGGGTCATTACGCCAATGAAAATGTATAACTAGAGAGATGAGGAGATACAGGAACATATGTCGTAAGGGCTAAAGCTGAAATTGCCAGTCAAGTTCAAGAAAATGGCAGGACTCAGGGACCAGATTACAAACCGGCCCTGAGACCACGATGTAATCTACGTTACTGCAAGCTTTACCCTAGCGCTACCCCTTGCCTAAACCAAAGGGAGTATTTCCAGTAGGTGAGAACAAAAAACCCCAGACACAGTCAGGACTTGATTCTCTGGACATTGTTTGTGGTTCAAATGACAAAACATCTAGAACAATGCCTATCAGAGAGAGAGCCAGGCTGCTTATTCCAACGCGATCAGTGAGTTGATTGAGATTTGACAAGTGTCAAATGCAGCTGTAAGGCAAGCAGGATTTAGACAGTGTTAGGGCCAGCAGGGTCTACAAAGTGGAGGTTGTGTGACACAGGTTTGGGCCTATACATAAAGGTTCACACATTTTTGAATTAAGATAATGCTAGTATCTTATACAATATATAAATGACCAATTATATGAGTCAACACAGGCAATTTACATAAATATGCACATTATCAACTGTTCCAGGCCCAACCCATGATCTCTAATAAGAAATTTCTTGAAAAACTGTTAGCACATAAGGAAGCACAAATAAATATACGCATATACATACCATATGCTGTATATACATACATATATTTATCCACCAGCCACCCAGGGACACGTGGCAGACAGATTTAGGTGAGGTCCGACCAGTGTGGCTTGAGGTCCAGCTGCTTTTGGATCTATTCTGGGTCACATTTCTCCCCGCAACACCAACTTCAGAGTTTCTCACCCAACTGTCAACACCACTCACCCCCTTCCAGGATTCCTCGAGCGGACGCACCCTAAGCAAGCAGCCGCGCTCTTTACCACAGTGACCAGGCCAGCCTGTGAACCCCAGCTGAGGTCTCAACTACCCTCAAAATATCTGACATTACCGTTGGCCTAAATAATCTGTCAGTACGGCTGAAGATGAAGTGTAGGTTGTTTAGCTGTGTGTTTTGTGATCTGGGGTATGGTGTCTACATTATTAAACAGGTGCCCCGGTGACTATCATGAAGTTGAAAGAGTTGCAAGAGAGCCATTAAAAGAATTTTCAAAAGCAATGTTGCAGAAGTTGAGACTTCCGTGCCTTTTATTTCCTATTGGGTCAAACTATAAACATGCTGGCTCCTACAATTTCCATTAAACAGCTAGAACATCTCTCTAACTCCATGCCTGCAGTTTGTGACACAGGATTTGTGTTTAACTGTGTAGCCTCCAACTCTATCGCACCATCATCAGGGATATCTCCTCATTTTTAAGAAATATTTGGAAACCTCCCTCCAAAGCCACAGTAGACAGTTTGCATCTGTTTGCACAGGTTGAGTAGTGACAAATAAATGGTCTTTTGTGTAAAAACAGTGGAGTGCTCCTTTTAAAGAGCTGCAGTCCCAGCATGCATTGCAGTGGTTTGTCACCAATGCAAGAAAATATAAATAATGTCATTTATAGAATTTTTTTTTTCACCCCCACTTAAGATATGCATCTGTTTGGTTGTGTTGCCAAAATGTGCACTCTCTGCTCTAAAGTCTGTGGACACTGAACATTACTTAACATATGTGATTGCTGAACACATCATTCCAAAACCATGGGTATTATTGTTCTGCTTTAACAGCTTGTGGGAAAGTTTTTCTCAAGATTTTGGATCTCGGCTGCCGGGATTTGCTCCCATTCAGCCACAGGAGCATTAGTGATGTTGGGCTCTGATATTGGGGGATAAGGTTTGGCTCTCAGACGGTACTCCATTACATCCCAGAGGTGTCAGATGTGGTTGAAGTCAGGGTTTAAGGTACGTAGAGGGTAGCGTTCGCATACCTTTGGTCATTTAATTAACATTTTGTCAAGTCCACACACTACAAGTCCTAAAAGTCTAAACGTAGTTAACTTATGCCGGCCTTATACCAAGCAAGTTTTCAAATGATTTTTCTGGCGCATACAAATTCCAGATGTTGGAATCAGGTCATGAGAGTTGTACTTCAATTTGTGTGCTCCCTTGATCTTGATCATTTGGTGTAAGGTGGCCATAAAACTCAGTCAGAGCTGTCTTAAGTCAGTCTTTTTCTTGTCTTGACGTTCGAGCAAAATCATTTTTAATGACATGAACATTGTAAGCATTCAATAGCTGGGCTCTTTGTAGCGACAAACCAGGTAGGCCATTAACATTGGGGAGACTTTGGGGAATCGCAAGAACATGAACAAGTAACAATTCTCTTGTTCTGTGGAAAGGAAGGATAAACTGGTGGAGTTGTGAACAAGAGCCTGTGTTTATTCCGGCTTGTATCTGATGCACCAACCGGCACTTATTCAAGTGAGAAATTTAAATTTTTGAAAAGGTTTGCCTCTCATTTCCATGGTCTCCTCCCACTAAAATCGTAAAGCTAACCTACGGAGGCTGGTAGCAAGTTGATGCGGCAAAATCCAAAATGTAAAGTTTGTACACAAATACAGTTTGTTTTTGTGGATCTTATCCTGTTGGGGGTCGCGTGTGGGCTGTAGCCTATCCTAACTGACATTGGGCGAGCGGCAGGGTACACCCTGGACAGGTCACCGGACTATTGCAGGGTTGACACATAGAGACAGACAACCATTCACGCTCACATTCACACCTATGGCCAATTTAGAGTCGACTGTGAGGTGACAGTGCTAACCACTGCATCACCTTGCCGCCTATATATTGATGCTGAATTTACAAGAATACTGTCAACATATGATGCCGTTTATCTTGTGTTTCTAGGGTTTTGCAGATACATAAGGACTTGTGAATATGTTACAACTGTTAAAGGGAGTTTGGCTAAATATTTTCCAGCAGGAGCAGGATGGGAAATAACCTCAAAAGCAATCTAGTCTTGCAAATCCTACCCTGCAAGTGTTTGCAAAATCTTATCGTGTGTGACTAAAAACACACACTGTCTAGATGTATGTCAATAAAAAGTAAATAAAATTAAAGTAATTAAAACTATTTTCAAAGTCTTGTCAAAGTTTTCAAGGGTATGGTAGGCATTAGTCACAACTGCAGTCTCATCTCTAACCAAACTTAAACTCCACAGCCAGGACCGGAGGCTTATTCTGGACACAGAAAGATTTATGACTGGCAGAATCACTTAGTCATGTCTATAACAAGCTTTGGATTTCTCTGAACTCCTAAAGTCTCTCGCCAGCACTGTTCAAGTGATTTAAATATGGTCTAGGATTAAGCCAAACCATTGAACCTACACTGTAAAACAGGGGAAAGAGATGACATGAATGACAAACAGAGTTCTTTACATCCCAGAAAAGTGCAAGTTTTTTAAAGATACTGCTTTATTTAATCAGTGCCCTGTGCTCTCAGCTTAGATGTGATAATGTCTCTCAAAGTCTATTTCCATCTGTCCAGCCTGTAGATCTGGTAGGCGGTGAGGGGTTACTGAAGGTTTACCGCTCCTCCTCTCTGTTTACCACACATGATTCTGATTGTTAACATAGCAACACACTTTTCTTGCGCATTTGCTCTCTCTGTGTTTGTCTCTGAGGCCAAAAACCTCAATCTCTGTCCCTCTAATCTTCAACGCCTCCATCTAGAAACCCAGAGCAGGGTCAGTCCCACCTCACAGCACTCCACGCAGAGGTCACGAGCCAAACCTCTCCTTTCCTCTTGTGGTCAAAACGCTGGAAGGAATTATTTAATTCCTCCATTTTTTTTCATTCCCTCTTCCTCTAGTGAGGCTGAAGTTATTTACAGGGCTGCAGTGGCTGGACAGCAGAGCAGAGCAGAGCTGAGAGAAGCAGAGCGGAGGTGAGATGAGCGTAAAAAGAAAGAGGACAAGAGACCAAAACAGATGGCGGGAATGGAGAGAAGAAGAGAGCAGAAGCCGGCTCTTGGCTCAGTTCTCGCTCTCTAGCAAAGAGCCGAGCAGCTGAGGCCGGCTGCCCAGGAATGCAGCTGGAATCCGAAGCCTCTGCTTAGTCCATCGGTGTCCCACAGAGCTAAACACTACTTATGCATCACTCTCAGCGACCCCCCAGTGAATAAACCTCCTTAACCTTGCTTTATTTTTTGACTTTGTGTGTCTCAGGTTATGAAGAAGTGGTCAGAATTCCCAAAGGATCCGTATTTATCCACATACAAGAACTCAACATCTCCCTCAACTACCTTGGTAAGATTGTATTCAAGCTCATGTCTACTGTGAACGCCAGATGTGTGGTTTCTTTTTATGATTTTTATTTTATAAAAAAGAATAGGATGTGCCTGTTTGAATGTCCTGATCTCTCATCGAGTACTCGGAATAATCTGCATTCAAGAGGCCTTTTCTACACCTGAATGACTCTTCAGCACCGGTGTTACTGATATCAGCTGAATGCCATATAGCTGCTTCGGCTTCAGGGTCTTGCTTAATGCAACATGTAACTAAGACAGTTACTAAGTTTAGATGCAGGATAACTGTTTCACCTGTGCTCAGTGTTTGTGCTAGCTACAGTAGCCTAAATACTTCACAGAACTGTCTTTGACACAAAGCTAATATTGATCTTCTCATCCAACTCTGACATCGGGTTCACACTGAACACAGAAGCACTGCAAAGCATGCCAATTTTCCCGAATAAGTCAAGCTGCGGCTGGAGCAGCTACATGACTCGCCCACCATTCTCAGTCTTAATGTATAGTTAATAAAATACATGAATAAAGTGGATTATTGCTACATGTAGCCTCATGTTTATTCATTACAACGCTGTGTTGTCGCAGGGTTCAAAGAACCATCGCATTGGTGGGTATGTCTTGTACTGTTGTTAGGTGCACTTTAGGCTTTAAATGAAATGTGGTTGCAGCCATACCTGTCTTGATTTCCTGTGGAGTACTGCCCGCTTTCATTCAGCACCCATGTTAACCAGTTGGGCGATTCACACTGGAAGCACTGTGGCCCTGAGCTCTGCAGCCAGCTCACAATCCGCACTGATAGCTTTGGCGTCTGGTGTATTTTTTCCGCAACCCAGAGTAAATCTGGAATAAAAACATACTGATAATCTATTATGAACAATAAAAAAAGATATTTGACATGATGTAAATGATCTGATTATGATAAATGATAAAATATACATTCATGCTCCCACATATTTGTCAGATTGAGAAGATAAGCGGGGACACACACACACACACACACACACACACACACACACACACACAAACAAGCAGACAGGCAGGGCTCTACGTGTGATGAGAAAAGAGCAAACAAGTGGGATTGCTGGCTTACCGCAGTCATGCAGTTATGATGTGAACGGCCAGGCAACTGCAGATGGGCAGCTACGCAACAAATGACATATCTTGACACTTGACACAACAAATAGATAATGTTCTAAAGTGTCAGTGAATTTTAATGCACTCTGCTCCAGGATGCTTCTTGTGGTGATGCTTCAGATGCACTAAGTGACATGCAATTCTTCTTGGTACTTTACTTTCTTCCCTAAACGTCTTTCTTCTTCTCTGTGTCCCAGTCCTGAAGAGTAAAGGAGACCAGTACTTTATCAATGGGAAGCTGACCATTGACACTCCACGCAGGTTCGACGTTGCCGGCACCACCTTCCACTACAGGCGACCCACTGACGGACCAGAAACTCTTGAAGCTCTGGGGCCAACAAACATAACCCTGATTGTCATGGTGAGGGTGGAAAGAAACCTCAAAACAGGCCTTTAAAAAAAACACGTACAAGAAGTTTCACCATCAGGTAGAATTAAATGTTTGGTTGTTTGTATGTTCAGGTGCTGGTGAGGGAGGAGAACCCAGGGATCCACTATCGCTTCAACCCTCCATTTAACAGGGAACCTCTGACTGGGTTTGCCTGGCACTACAACTCCTGGTCACGCTGCTCAGCTCTCTGCGCTGGAGGTAGATACTCACTCAAAGCACCTGAGTGTTTTCAGCAGCCAGGGAAGTCTTTTTGCAATAGTGATCAATGAGAGTGTTTTGCTTACTGTTTTTGCTTTGCTTGGCACCTCATGTTTTTGCAGGAGCACCCCGAACGTTTTGAGTTAAAAAACTTCACCTCAGAGCGCCAGGCGTCATTTGAGTTTTTTCCCCATTGTCCATTGTCTGGAGTGTTTTGTGGAGTCCATGTTGAGGTGTTTCAACAGTTCACAGACTCTGAGACCTTGAAAATATCACACTTAGCCAATCTCCCTTTTCCTTTCTGGCCTTTGGAAGTCAATGCTTCATGCTGCTTTATGTGATAAGAGCTCATTTTGTCCGCTGAGAAATAAATCCTTTCACTTAAAATGTTGAGTGGAGGATGTGAATGTGGTGGGTGAACATTTAGAGCGGTGGTGGTAGTTCTTAAGAATGGGTTTACTTTTGTTCTTTTATTAAATCTTTTTCCTGAAATAATTAGGGTGCCTGCTGGAAGTCAGAGATGTCGTATTTAAGTTTATGCATTGCTTTTTTAACAGTTGTTTGATAAACTGCCATTAAATAGATGTAGTAGCGGATTTGAATAGCTATTTTGATTTTCAAATTTTTTTTAAACACTGCTTACTCACTTAATGAATCTCAGCACTGTGGCAGTTTCCATGTGTAAACGGGGTTCAAAACAACCAACAGATTGAAACATGATGTCTTATGTCATCTCACCTGTGGTCAGGTGTGCAGACCCAGCAGGTGGTGTGCAGGAAGCAGGCAGATCATTCAGTCGTCTACAACCACTTCTGTGACAAGAAGAGCAAACCCAAAGAGAAGAGGAGATCCTGCAATACTGAGCCCTGCTCCCCATCGTGAGTTGTCTCTTGTTGATAAGATTTTCTTCATGTAGAATATAAATATCTAATAATGTATAGTGTGTGTGTGTGCATTTTTTTTATTATCTTATTTAGCTTTTTATCACACTTATTCCTTCCATCTATACTTACTATCTCCATGTCAGCCTTTAAATGACTCTTTACTTCTAAATAAAATTTAGTGTTTTGATATTTGTGCTTATGTCTGTTTAAGTTTGCAGTTTTAGAGAAGTTGCTTGTTGTCCCTGTCTGATGACACACTTATACTGACAGTAAAACCATGTTTGGATGGACATAGTTTAGGCACAACCGTAAAGTGACTGTTCAGGTTTCGTTCTATAATAACACTTTGATAGTCATAACTATAAAAAGACACATTTTTAATCTTATTTTTGTACATACTGTATAATTTATCTTTTAGCACATTTGCATTTATTCATCCTAAATTGTAGTCTTTGTAGTCTTATCAACTTTTTGCTGCACCTATGCACTTTGTGTAAATGTAATGCTGTCTGTGTATTTGTACTGTGTTGGTGAGCTTTTCTTAGTATGTGCACCACTTTTCCTACCTGTGATTTCTGTTTGCACGGTATAGCCTCCTTCTGCAGTGTCTCCACACTATATAATGCGATGCAAATGAGTGAATCTCCTCTCTGCCTCCAGCTGGTGGACAGGAGAGTGGTCGGAGTGCAGCCGCAGCTGTAACGGCGGCCTGCGAACACGGGACGTGTTATGTAAAAGGAGGCTCTCCGTGACAGAGGAGAAGGTCCTGGACGACTCAGCCTGTACATCCTCACGTCCTTCTCTCACTGAGCCCTGCAGCAACCACAGCTGCCCCCCTGAGTGGCTGGCCCTGGACTGGTCAGAGGTAGGCCGACGTCAGAGGTCTCCCATCATGCATGTGGTTTTTGTTTTTTCGTCAACTCGTGGCTGAATTTCAACCAATACTTGCGTTTTCTGCAGAATTCCTGTCAGATGAAGCAATAGTTTATTTTCCAGTTGAACCTAAGAAACCCAAACATCTGCCAGGAGAAAGTAAGAGAACCTTAACCATGAAATACACAACAGAGGCACGGAGCAGACAAATACATCACGCTGAACATGTTGTTGCAGTCATGAATACATATTGTTACACTTGTCATGTGGGAATCCCCTGACCTGTTTTCAATTCGGACCCTCAGTTTGAAAAGTCTGTGGGAGTTTAAGGGCATCTTTTATGTCTTTGCAGACATGTAAATTATACTTTTAAGCCTTTTTATTGTGTTCTTTAACTATAACAGGCCTGAAAAGTCCATCTTCTCATACCCCACTTTGTTCCTGGAGCTAAAATCTGTTTTCACAGTTTAGAATGAATTGAAACCAAATTAAATGGTGTCAGAAGTGCTGCAGTGTTCAACTTTTCTCTGACGTCTTGTGCAGTGATGGCACACTCAGAAAAGGAATTATGTCCAGCTGACTTACAGGAACTAAGCAGGCTCTTGACTGTGTTTCTTATACAGCTGCTGCCCTCTGCTGAGTGGATTAAGAACATTTTCTTTCCTGCATGCTTATGACCGCAGTGACCCCCTGCTGCACCCTCCCATCGCCTCCATCTCCCTGCCCTCTTGCCTGATGTTTTTTCTCCCTCTTTCTTCATCTCCTACTCTGTCTGCAGTGTACGCCCAGCTGTGGTCCTGGCTATAGGCACCGTGTGGTCTTGTGTAAGAGTGGGGAGAGCGGTGACAACCTGCCAGAGTCCAAGTGCCCCAAACATGGCCGACCCACCTCCAGGGTGCGCTGTAATCTGCAGCGTTGCCCTCCCCCTCAGTGGGTGACGGGTCCCTGGGGAGAGGTAAGAGTCTTGGACCTCTTTGTGGTTGTGGTGGGACATTTAGAAACAACTCAGTGTCTGTTTTGTACTTTAATACACTCCCCAATGTCTTAGTGTTCTGCCAGGTGTGGTCTGGGTCAGGAGATGCGCTCGGTGCAGTGTCTGACCCACACCGGCCAGCCGTCCAATGAGTGTCTGGAACATCAGCGGCCAGCAGCCATGCAGCAATGCAAGAGCAAATGTGACCTCAGTCTGCCCATCAGTACAGACAACCCTGAAGGTCAGAGGTCAAAGTTTACACATGGCTCCTTTTAATGTTTAAAAGGAAGAACATTATAGAAAGATTTCCCACTTACAGGTTCATTTGAACAAAATGTAAAATTGGCATGCTCAAATTAAGAATTTGATTTTAAAATCCCCTAATTTGTTCAACTTGTTTTTTTTTAAAGGAGCAGTGTGTAAGGTTTAGAGGGATTTCGTGACATCTAGCAGTGAGGATTCTCCTTCTGGTTAACTTCTCCTGGTTAGAAATCTTGCAGTGTTTATTGTTCAGGAGGTTTTTACTGTGAGCCAAATTATCTGCAGAGGTCTCTTCCTCTCCACAAGAAACAGACGGGGTGATTCAAACTAATAAAAACACTACGTAAAGCAGTTTCACGTTACAAATCTGGGTTTCTTCAATACTCTTCAGCTCGTCAGAGACCTGTCGCTAGCCAGCACCTGCTTTTCTTTGATAACTTAAGATCCAAATGTTAAGGAGGTTTTTTTTTTACTGGGAGCTGAAATATCTGCAGAGGTCTCCTCCTCTCCAAATCAAACAGACCCACTGATTTAAAATGGTAAAACACGGAATAAAGCAGTTTCATGTATTCCAATTCTGCTCGTCGCGGAGGGGCTGCTAACTACAGTGGCCAAAGCTTACATGCAAGTGGTTCTGTCTAGAGCCAGTGTGTGGTTTGTCAGTTCTGGGCTGCTGTAGAAACATAGTGGTGCAACATGACGGACTGTAGATGAAGACCTGCTCCCTGTGTAGATATAAACGGCTCATTCAAAGGTAACGAAAGTATAATTCTTATTTTCAGGTGATAATACACTTAAAGAAAAACACTTATTATATTATATTTCAGTTCTGCCAATATATCCCCCTAAATCCTACACACTGGACCTTAAAAATGTTGAAGCATTCAGTGAAATTATTATGAATTGAATGTGGCCCAAAATGCTGCTGTAAAAGGTATGTGTGTAACCACATATCAGTGACTCATTCAGTAGTCAGCCTTTTCTCAATGTTTAAAGTTATAATAAACAGATGTTAATATTTATATACAAGGTAATATGTTTGAACATTTTTAACTCCAGTGGAGTCCTAACCCACTTTCACTGCATTTTATGTCAGTAACAAATGTCTGTATAAGTATAAACACACATTCATCTACATACATGTACACATCTATTTATTAGTGTATGTTTATACTGTGGGCAGGCACATACGCATACAGATTTTTTTTAATTGCTTTGCAGATTTTATATACAAAATGTGGCATTTCTGATTTTCTCAAGCATCAAAAAGTGATTTAATTAATCATTTAATCCACAGGCCAAATGACGGGAGGATTATTGTCATTCCATACAAGTCGTATAAGTCTGAACAATAAAGGTGGATAAAAGTGATAATATTCTCTGTATTTTTGATTGAAATCCTGCACTGTTTCTATAAAAATCATGTGCACCATGCCTTAACCAAGCTGTTTCATGTTTGTCTTCCCTTCAGAGTGTAAAGATGTGAACACTGTGGCCTACTGCCCCCTGGTGCTCAGGTTCAAGTTCTGCAGCCGGCCATATTTCAGACAAATGTGCTGCAAGACCTGCCAGGGACACTGACGCTCACAGCATCCCATCTCTGGGTCCTGTACACACTCACAGTAAGCCTGATACCCTCCCACTGAGCCTCGTAACAGCAGCCCTCACACTCCCTCTATCAGAGGAGTGTGAGATCGAACTGGGACGCTGTCGGACTGACACCTGGTCCCGTAACTGTTAAAGAGGGACCTGTATTTTCCAGCAAGAGTCCAGCACAAACCAGACGCCTCTCCGGGCCAAGCTGAGTTTTACATTCCACTGGAGGGAGGGCTGCTGAAACCTGGAGAGACCGAGAGAGAGGAGAGATTAACTTCCCTCCATCGTCTGTCTTTCTAATGATCCCTCTGTTGTAATATTTTGGTGCTACTATATTTCTCTTTGGCCGCAGGGCTGGTCGCAGTACTCTCTTAAACCTGTATGTTAACAGGTGATATTTGTTTAGTTAAAGAAATCCACTTTGTAAAGAAAATGATTTTCCAGATATCTTCGCCCATGAAAAGGAATATCTTATGCTATAAAATGAAAGATTTGTTTCTATGTTATCTAATAGTTGTTACTTGACCACATTGTTGTATGCCGTTGCTTCGTTCCGTATCAGCGTATCCATCAAGTCCTCGCTGTTATTCAGCTGAAGTATGAGCAGAATTTGATTTGCACAAAGTGTCAGCAGTCCGAGGACTTGTGTATGTTATGTTTTCATGTGATTTGACTTGATGTCTCTGTGGAAGCTATAAATGTCTCACTGCAGTGAACCTGCCGTAGTCTTGCCATTTACGTTAGTTTGCTTAAATGTTATCACCTCTACAGTAAAACAGAGCTTCTTGCTGCACAGAGGCTTTAGCGATGTGAGCAAATCCAGTGCTGAATCGCCAGGACATTTTCAGATTATAGGATGTTATTTTGTGGCTGCGGACTGCGGCAGCTCGTGCATAAAGTCTTCAAAAAGGAACTTTTAACAGCTGGGCTCAGTGTCATTATCTGACAATCCCTCAGCGCGGGGCCTTGCTGTTAATTTTTTTTTTTTTTTTTTTTTTGGTTTATTTTTGCCAGATGTTACCACTCATTCCACAGTGCTAGTAACTTTTACTGTGAGTGGAAATTCAGAGCAGAGTGACACACAGTTGAGTCAGCTCTGCCAGCAGGAACAGGCCCAGTGAGGAGGAGTGAAGACCTCTGACCACACTGCTTTCAAACTGCATTTTATAGTAGGAGTGCTAATCTGAGGATGGATTTACACACCCATAAAATATCTGATTTCTTTGAGGCTGCTGTGAAAAGATTTCTGCAACATTTTTTTTCTGAATTAAGCTAATTTAAACTCATCTCTCTTTTTGTGGCCACATGGGGGCAGCAGAACAAGTTGGAAACACAACATATCACCGTTTGAGTTGATATGGCAAACTTGTTAGCAAACAGTTGCTTAGTTACACATCCAGCAGTGACAGTGTGTCAGTCCACCTTGAAATTAAGTCTAATAGTCTTTTAGCTTGGTTTTGGTCTTCACCAACTCCTGTGGGGAATATCTGTCTCTTTAGCTGCTAGATGCGCCTTTATGTTCAAATCTCCAACTGTGTGTTTTGGCTGTTTGGTGCTGAGCAGGTAGCGTAATATTGCTTTGTAGAGCTTTTTCTATGATAACGGCTGCCTGCTGCAGGCATTAATGACACTATGAGAGCAGTGAGAGTGATTCAGAACACTTAAGTTGCGGTCAGACAGTGAAACAATGGGCTTGAACTCAATAGAAAGCTCCATAAAGTTGAGAAGAGCTGCAGATTTAGGTGATAATTCTCTGTAAATTCATCACTTCGAGCAGCCTCTTTCACAATATAATGGCTTTCACATGATTTGAGTTATTCTGAAATCAAGTCAGTGTATTTTCTTTCTCAAAAACAAGAACCCAGATATTAGCCGCAGGACAGCACAGCAGTTAAATGATTTATTTATGCACAGATGTTTTGGCTCAAGTGTGTGAACTGGAACCAGTGTGAAACCGTGTCAGCTTTTTTTCCTTTTAAAGATAGTGATGTGATCATGTCACCCTAAGGTCACACCTTTCCTGCTCTTGTACAGGAAATGTGTCACCTGACCGAAATTTGTTTAGTGCTGATTTCATTCAAGATTTTCTTTTTTTTTTTTTCACTGAGAGTTTTTGTTTAAATGCAGTTTCAGCTGTTTCTCCATCCTGAACACTTTTAGAAATGCTGCCTCAGAGATCAGTCATCACTGTGACGTCCACTGTGCTCCGCCGTGGCCGGTCTTTTCTTCACACACACTCACACTGATCACCGCTGACAACAGCTCTGTGTAACACTACATGTCACATCATTTCATTGTTAAAGAAGCTACAGTTTGGTTTTATGGGGATTAGCTGCAATGTTGTTCCTTTTTTCTTGTGGTGCTTTGGTTTGGATTGGTGCTATTAGTTCACTGTTGTTGTCAATGTTATCATTTTAACAAATTGTGCTTTTAATTATTTAGAAATCGAGTTGAGCCTTTTGTAATATTACCGATCTCTTTGGGTTTCTTTGTTAATTTCAGTCATAATTTAAGCTTTTAATTTTCACTCCCTGGCTTGGTTAAAGTGGCCAATATTCCTCCAAAATCCCCATATGCAGCTCACTATGCAAATTTTAGTATTATGTCAGATGCTGTAACAATTTCTGATGGGGCAATGTACAAAATATTGGTATTTCCGAGCACTCTTAACAGTTGTGGGATTATAAAAATAATCTATTTTGGCAGCAGTAAACACACATTTGATTTTTTTGAACACCTGTACAGCTTTTGGTTTATCAGATTGTGTGAAGGGTCTCAGAAAATTAAAACGTCTGCTCATTCATCCACGTGGAGCATGCAAACATTATTTAATTTAAAGATTTCATACAGTTTTATTTGTATGCCATCAACTAACTCACCCCTGCAGTTTTCAGGACTGAACAGGTTGAAACACAGTTTGTATCATTTTCAGTTGCACATAAAGTTTCAAAAGATTTTTCTGTTTCAGTGTCTGAAGGCATTTCTTTTCTGTATCTGCCTGTGCATATAATGAAGGTTCACACTGAGAAGTGAGCCTGTTTTATCTGAGTAAATAAGAGGGACAGTACCGGTAATTGTTGTTTTGTTTTGTCACATGCTAATTATAACATGACATGTACTGTATGTTGTTCAATGCTATAGAAGATGAATCCATTTGTCCCCCATGTACATCTTTTTAAAAGGAAATATTAAATTGATTAAACATGGCGCCTTGTTGATTTGAAGAAATAAGATCTGGTCGTTTGAACTCTCTGTCCTCAACTTGTGCTTTTGCTAAAAAGGCTCACTTCAGCTTCAAGACAGAGACTGAGATCATCAGTGGTCTATTTCTAGGTCTGACAGACTTAACGGAAAAGAAGAAGCAAGAACTTCTTTCTTTTGTCTGAATGAGGCTGAGACGTCCATCATCGATTGGATGAAAAGGGGTCAGTTGAATGTGTGTGTATGTTCATTTACTGTATGTGTGCATGTAAGTGTGTCTGTAAAGATATTAGATTTATGCTCTGTTTTACCCTTTGTATGTACTGTCTTCATCTCAAGACTAATACTGTTTAACATGTTTCACAAAAACTTAAACATGACAAAACACAAAATCATTAAATGAAACACCAAAAGTTGCAAATGTTTCCAAAGTAGCAGCATAAAAGACCTTTTGTTACTGTTTGGAATTAGCAACTCAGTGGTGATATCAAAAAAGACATCTTGGTACGAATCAGTGATGAAACTCACAAAAAACAGATAGAACAGATTTTCTCCTTGTCTTCTGAGACATCCAATTTCTGAAAGGTGTATTCATGATCATGAGGACATACATTTATCTGATTTAGACCATGTCTGTCCCCTGTCTCCCACAGAAAGTTACAGAATCATTAATGTGACCTTTAAATAATAACTGAGGCCAGAGGGCTAGCTTGCTGGGTGCAGGCCCAGGGGCCCCTGGAACGAGTTTCTGTATGAAGTAATTGTTAACGTTTATTACTGGAAAGTCAATGAAACCTCCCCAAGATGTAAGATTACCACAAAGAGACACAAAACAACTATAAAGGCACAACATACTACGAAGAGGCACAAACAAGATGCAAAATGACAAAAAAGCCAAATAAAAATCTAATTTAAAAAAAACTATAAATCAGTGAAAAATGACCACAAAGAAACACAAAATGAGACATAACACAGCTATAAGAGAATCAAAAATAACTATGAAGAGATCCAAAATGATCACAAAGAGACAAAAAAATGACCACAAAAGAGAAAATACACATAACAACACAAATAATAATAAAAAACACAGAGAAACAGAAAATGGGACATAGAACAGTTGAGGTGAGATGCAAACAACCTCAAAGAGACACAAGATGCATAGTGACCAAAAAGACACAAATTAACCACAAAGACACAAAATGACGATGAAGATGCAAAGCGACCATAAATAAATGAAAACAGCCACAAAGAAACACAAAATGGGATGTAAAACAACTAAGAACAGATGTGAAATAAACCTCGAAGACACACAAAGTGGCCACAAAAAGCAGAAACAACCACAGATGCAAAACGCCTCTAAATAAATGAAAAACCACCACTGTGCAAAAAAAAGAAAGAGATGCAAAACAGCTTCAAAGGCACTTAAACAACCTCAAAGTGACACGAAAGACAACGTCAGAGAGACAGAAAACAACCTCAAACTGACACAAATCAATCTCAAAGAGATGCAAAACAACCAGAGTCGCAAAACGATGACAAGAGAAAAAGAGATGAAAACAACCTCATAGAGGCACAAATCAACCTCAAAGGATGCAAAACCACCACAAAGAGACACAAAACAACCCCAAGGAGACGCAAAACAACTTCAAGAAGACTCAAAACAACCTCAAGGAGATGCAAAACAACTTCAAGGAAACACAAAACAGCCATGAAGAGTCACAAAATGCCTACAAAGGAAGCAGTAGTCGTTTTTTGTCTCTTTTGGGTGTAATAGTCCTTCCTAGGAGGGCTGGGGGGCCTTTTACACGTCTTTGTTTACACTATGCAGAGTTACAAATAGAGGCTATTTAAACTGATTTCCTGTTAGAATATTAGAATAAAGTTGTGTATTTGGTATTAATTTAATACAGTGAACAAGTCATGTAACTATTTAGAATGTGCACTTTACTATTGTCAAGTACCGGGGCTTCAAATATAAGTCTACATACATTTTTAGTTACTTGACAAATGTGGCCCCCATCTGGCCTCAGTCTGGCCCACCCATTCAAAAGTCTCTAGAGCCGCCCCTGAATGTGAGTGCAGAGCCACAGTGTAGGTTTGCTGTGCAGGTGCTTGAAAACATTCTCACTCAAAATGATACAAAACAGCAAGAAAAACAGTTTGACACCTCCACACACACACACACACACACATGCACACACTCATGTGAGCACAGTGTTCTCTCCACTTCTGTATGAACCTGCATCAGTTATTATGGGCGTTGGAAGCAGCACCCTCTGTGACGACACAAACACAACGTGAAGTAACCACAGGCTGGGTGGAGCCGGCAGTTCACAACTGAAACACCATCATTTGGCAACAGACTGGAGATAACCATCACTTTGTGGTTGTTGTTGCCATCAACACTTGGCTGGCTGCTTGGCAAGATGAATTGGATTGACTAATTGTGCCGTTTAACCTTCAGACCTGCTGACACAGGCAGCCCGTCACCAGTTAGGTCATTATTTCATCCTCACTCTGATGACTTTAAATATGACAGAAATACAGAAGTAGCAGCCTTGTGTGGCGTGTGTGTGCATCAGAGTGTGTGTGTGTGTGTGTGTGTGTGTGGTTCTTGTTTCACACACTGCATCTGTGGGAGTATGAGGAAGTAGCTTTTTGAATGTTGCAGTGGATGTCTTGTAGGTCGCTGGCTGCTGTTGGCTCTGACCGTCTGAGTGCTGTGTGATGGCTGCAGTCTGAGGGAGGTCAACCTGTGGATTTTAACGACACACACGCACATAAACACACACACTCTCTGGACGCTGGACACCTGAGGAGGAGAGGAGGCCCTCTGGAACAATGGTACTGTACCACACCTTCATTTGCTATCTCTCACATACCTTTCTACAGCTGTAACCTGTGTGCGTGTGTGTGTCTGTACACTCCTAAAACTAAAGCTGTTGTTTGTTACCTTCACACACATTACAGGTGATCACACTTTTTTACTCTTGATGCTCTGTTTCCAGCACTTTCAAGGCAGTTTTTTGTCTGTAAAACTGACATCAGCTCTTGATTAACTGCATTTCATTTTTACCTGACGAGTCGTAAGAGGGTATTTTGTGGTTTAAAGTTAGTTTTGACATGTTAAAGGATGTGGCAGTGTCTTCAAGTTAAAATTCAGCTTCTTCTCAGCAGCAGCAGCAGCAGCAGCAGCAGCAGAGTTTCCTCTTTTTCAGGATGAGCCCTTTCATTGAGCCTCAAGGCAGCTCAAATACACTGATTGCATTGTTGTGTTATTTTGATTTATGAGTATAATGTGGATTTGGACCTGTGACATTAAGATTTCAACTGTATGCAGAGCAAAGATGCACATATAATACATTCAGTGCAGGTGTCCATGTTAAAATAAGAAGAACAAAGACATTATATTGAATATATTTTTACATTTTTGAGCTGTTGTGTAATCTCTAGAGTGCTGAAAGCAGCCCTGGCAGTGCCGGCTGTGAGCAGCAGGCAGTTGCAGGAAGAGAACCGGTAGCATGTACAAAGTTTGTATGGTTTCACAAGAGGCAGAGATGAGGTGTGAGAGGGGGAAGTGGACTACAGGAGAGGCCTGTAGTTGCTGTCACAACACTTCCTCCTTGCACACAGAGTGGCCCAGACTCACTCAGTCTTACTGTTTTAGTCAGAAGCATGCAGCTAAAAGTCTTAAAGTTTTATTTATTTTATAGATTTAAGGCTGAGGATCTCATAAATGTGATGATTAATGTAAATGACACTATTTCTGCTTCGTTCTGTAACACTTTTATGTTTTTAAACACTTGTCCCATCATCATTTAGCTAATATCCTTTCAAAATAAGAGTCACACATGAGATGCAGGCAAAGGTGTAGTCAAAAAAAAAAGGACCCGAGGAGGCTGCTTGGACACAACTGTCCATTTAAATGTCACTGATGTGCTCACAGTGAGGAAACAAAGCATGAAGTAACATCGTGTCATTACCCTAAAAGTGTTTAAGATCAGAGTGAAAACACTGACAGTTACATTATCTGCACATTTTGGAGATCTTCACCTTTAAATCTACTAAATATAAATTAGTCTAGATAGACAGAAATAACTGCTGTGAAGTGTGACAGGTGTCAGAGGGTCAGACCAGATCACACACAGGATTTTTTTTTTCTCAACAACCGTGCTCAAAGTTCCGGTTTGATGCGATGAGGTTTTTGAGATCTCAGCTGGTGTGACTTCTGCCAAAACCACAGTTTGACAGAGGTGACTGGCATTTTGTTTGTGGTTTTCAAAGCATCTTTAATTTACATTTTCAGCTCCATAGCAAAATGTTTCGAGAAACTGTTAAGTGTCTAATGAGTAGAAAGTGTTTCTCAATCAAAACTGCTCACAGTGACCTCACTGGATCTTCCCAATTATCACACACTGTTTTGTCTGGCAGTGGTTGTTGCTGGTGGGTTATGTACTGTTGATGCTTTGAGCACCAAAAACAAAATGGCTACAGGTATAGGTGACTTTTTCTCAGGTGTGTCACAGTCCACGGGCCATTTTTCACCAAAATAAAGTTCCCTGCAGTAACTTTGTGCAACAATTTTACACTGAACACCTTTGAAAGCTACAAAGTGCTTCACAGGAAAGCACCATGACAAACCAATGAAACATCAGACATGATTGGGACAGTTGGAAGAGGATGGATTTTAACAGGATGGCTGTTCCAGAGATCATGACAGTTTTAAGTCCAGAATAAATACAAAAAGCTTGTAGTCAAGGATGAGTGCAGCTCAAATGATTTAAACTGATTTTTATTTCTATAAACTGTGTATCTGCCTATGATCCTTGGACAAACTGGTGAAGTTGTAACGAGAATCCAAGAACCAGGTCTGACTGTGTGTTCAGACAGAATTTGAAGCCAGTTTTGGAAGCAGCGCTGTTACATAGAAAGTCAGTGACCCATAGTTTAAGGGTTGTGCCAGTTGGTATACCGGCTTTCTGTCCAAACACGCCTCAAGAATCACC